AATAGTGTCCGGCCAACGGATCTGAAGTATTTTACGTAGACAACTGTTAATAAACACCTGTATCTTCTGGATGATGGCTTTCGTAGTTCTCCAGGTTTCCACCCCATACAGTAGAACTGTCTTGACATTTGTATTGAAAATCCTGACCTTGGTGTTGGTTGACAATTGTTTTCAGTTCCAGATGTTCCTCAGTTGTAAATATGCTGCTCTTGTTTTACCGATCCGCGATTTCACATGTGCATCAGATCCACTATGTTTAGCAATGATGCTGCACAGATATGTTAAGGTTTTTACATTCTACTAATCTTCTCCGTCAAGTGTGATTCGATTGTTGCATGTTGTGTTGTATCTGAGAATCTTGTTTTTCCCTTTGTGTTTGTTGAGACTTACTACTGCTGAACCTGCTTCTACACTGGTCGTTTTCTCCTGCATTTGTTGTTGCGTGTGCGATAGAAGAGTCAGATCATCTGCGAAGTCTAGATCGTCCAGCTGCATCCAACCGACTACATAAGTATGTGAAAATCAAGAACTTGTGTGATTTAACACATACAACCAACCTCAAGCACTTCCGAAACTGAAGTTTCACACCTTGAACTAATCTATTTAAAGTTGTTGAGACGAAATGGATATGATTGGGATCTAAATTTTTAGCTTTCTTGTTAAGATATATTAATAGACAAACTAAACTGTTTACTCAGGTGTGTTGTGGTATGTTGTGAAACTGTACAGTTGTGTCTTCTAATCTTATGATGGTTTCATAGCTTTTTTGATAATAAGAAGTGACATCGTTTATTTGGTCCCGTTTATTTTATATTTGTAAACTATTCAGACAGACTTTTAATGGAATTTTTTACCAAGTACAGATATAAAAGATTGATAATGCTCTGCTGTTGACTTAAGCTTACTAATCGTGCTGCTCGTACGTGTATTTGGTTAAATCAGAAACTCTAAGCCATGAAATAATTAATAGATGCAAAATAGACCAAATTAAAATCGAAATTCTGATTGGTGGCCCGTCACGTGATATGTTTGCCAGAGGTCACAAGACAATAAAATCTCTTGCAAAAATATCCATAGTATCTGTGCTGAAAAATGATGTTCAAATCACAAAGCATTTATCTTACACTACCTCTTAGGGGAATTTTAAGGACAACTTTGAGATTAGCAAAGCAAAAAATAGACTATCACCATGGCGTTTTCGTGTTGCAGAAGCCCTACAATACAGAATAATATTAAAATTGTAGAGAATTAGGAGTTTTAACATCATTCTGAGAGCCAAATATAGATAATTTAGTCTTTAGTTCATTGTTCTGTAATGAGTTTATACCCTAATTATTAGTTCATTATCATCTCGGCGGCCTGTTTGAATATTTGGGCTACCTGTTTCTGCCATCTGATTATTTCAACAAGTTATCTGTTTTTTATTTGTTTTAACTTATAAATATGCCCATTAATCGCGTTACTTAGGCGCTTTTATGAAAAGCCTACGACCTTTCGCTGCACAAATTACAAAAATGTACTATAAAAGACATCGTGGTGGTTGGCAATATGCGCTAAAAAGAATGAACATCAATTGTATGTCGATTCCCGAGCTGCTAAATTCTAACTACCGATCACTAATCAACAAAGTGGACTATCTGCAATTCCTACTAAGTCAAAATATGTATCGTAATTGTGGTGTCATCACAATTCAAGAATCTTGGTTAAATGATTTACAGGACGACTGCCTAGTATTACTACGTGATTTCGAAATTTATCGTCAGGATCGATCAAACAATAAAAAGAGGTGTGGTGGCGGTGTAGCTACGTTTGTAAACGTAAACTGGTGTCGATCTTCGTTTGTGTGTTTTAAGTTTTCAAATGACTTTATCGACTGTCTAACTCTGAGATGTCATCCAAAACATCTGAATACAAATATGTTTATGTTACCAACATCTACGTGACTCCAGATTGCACATCATCACTATCTATTTTCGCTGATGAATTCACTGAGTTCCCTGTTACTGCCTTCAGTGATTCACTTTCAGTTGTATATGGTGATTTCAATTCATGTGACTGTTTGTTTCCTTACGTTACTAGGTCACCAAAATGAAGTAGATTTCCCTACCCGTTTGGATGCTCATTTAGACTTCGTCTTCATTAATGATGTGGGTATATATGCGACTCGTAAACGTGCTCCATTGTCTAGCTCGGATCACTGTATAATTCATGTTCTACCTAAAGTATATGGAAAGTATGGGTAAGAGTACACTCTTACATCAAACCAAGAAAGTCAAATATAGTAATTACTCAGAAAAAAATATTCAACATCTGAAAAACATGTTTCATACGACTAACTGGGAATTATTTACAGATGACTCACTGGAAAACACTACTGATGTTATCACTTGTTACCTTAAATTCTGTTTTGATATTTGTTGTCCCACTGAAACCATTTTTGTAAGTTTTGATCGACTTAAATCTTCACAACTGAAACGACTACGGAGGATGAAAGAAAGAATGTACAAGGAGAAGAACACTAATGAAGTTCGTAAGCTAAATGGTCTGATAAACCTAGAGATTAGACGTCTCAACTGTATGTTTACTCAAAAACTCTCCAAGTATGTGGAAACTCTTTAAAGAACTTACAGGTGACAGACAGTTTAGAAGCGATAACCAGCTGAATGTTTATGACTTAAATAAGTCTTTTGTACGTCAGTCATCTGATGTGATGCTCCCTCTATCCACGGATTTAAAAAAATAGCTGTGTTCCTACTTTCACTGAAACTGATGTACGAGGATGTCTCCAGTCGCTTAATTCATCTCGATGTTTGGGACCTGATGGTATCCCAAACATCCTTTTTTAAAAATGTACTGACGTTCTGTGTCATCCGTTCACAACTATATTTAACAGATCCTTCTCATCTAATCTCATACCAAAAATGTGGAGAAAGATGAAGATAATTCCTGTACCCAAGAAAGCATCTGGTGATAAGAATGTAAGATTTAGACCTATTGCAATAACTTCACCCTTCCTCAAAACCATGGAAAAATTATTAATACTTCCACTTCAGCCTGCGATAAAAGAGCATATTGATCCATATCAGTTTGCTTACAGACACAAAAGAAGCACTTTAAATACTGTTGCTGTGCTGCATCACAACATAGTGTTCAACTTAGAAAAGGGTAAGAAGTATGTTCGATGTGCTTTTCTGGACTATACTTCAGCTTTTGATTCTATACCAAGACAACGTTTACTTAACAAGTTAATCAGCGTCAACACTGACAGCTGGATAACCAACTGGCTATGTTCCTACCTCTCTGGAAGGGAACAGTACACTGTGTTTGGAGGAAATTGTTCAGAGTCTCGACTGTCTCATGAAGGTGTACCATAAGGAGCTGTTCTTTCACTTCTTCGTTTTTCTTTTTTTCTTCATGATCTGCCATCTTCCACAGAAAACACTTTTGTGAAATATGCGGATGATCTCACTGTATGTATGCCTATCTCTTCCTCTTTACATCCCATAGAAATGAATGGGTTTTTGTCTCGTATTGATTGTTGGTCTGTTGGTAATGGTCTCATACTTAATCCGTCTAAATGTCAAGCTGTTAACTTTAGCATGAGACATGAACGGAATCTAAACACCATCTTGAGATCCCATAATGCTTGTACCATCGGAGACTCTTTGATAAACACAATGTCGAAGGTCAATTATCTTGGTGTCACCTTTTCCTCTGATCTGTCTTGGTCTTCCCACGTTTTATTGTTATCAAAGAAGATTTTTCGTCTGACCTACTACATAAAGAGATTGCATGCTCTTGGGATTAGTCGACATTTACTCTTACAATTTGTCAATTCTTGCATATTACATATTATTCTTTACTGTTCTCCATTATTCTTTCCCGGGCTTTTGAGGAAAGACTTTGCTGTATTGCGGAGAGTGCTCAAGGCAGTTAGCAAGATGTGTGGTGAATCTTTCGAGGTTATAATTAATATGGTTGTGGATGGGCATTTAAAATCATGCAAACTCCTGGCAGGTGTTATTTTATCCGATACTAACCATCCCCTTCACTCTTATCTTTCTCCTTGTATATCTTCTGGTAGAACGAGACGTAATTACATTAAAATCGATGCACGAAAGCAAACGTATCAAAGTTCTATAATACCTTACCTAGCAAATATACTCTGTGACGAACAGGTTGTTAGAGTTAACCTAGTCAATAACCTGCATTCTTAACCATGTCTCTAATTTGAAAATTTGTACAGTTTTTCGGGGTTTGTTTTTGTTTTTTTAAAAACCTTTTCTCATTTTTTTGTATTTGTTCGTTTTTTTTGCGTAAGTAACTTGTTGAAATACCCTGTGCTGAGAATTCTATATTGTACCAAAATATAATACTGAATAAAGTCATTAATAATAATAATAATAACTAACCCTAAAACTTCTCAACTTTGGCTTTTTTTATACTCCTAACCCTGACTTATTGACCTTAACACTTCATTCCACATGTGAACTATTATACAATCATTTTAAAATATGAAATATACTGAAAGACATAAGTTTCAACAACAAGCTCTCTTCACTATAGCGGTTCGCTTCTAGACAGATGATGCTTTGTGTAATAGCGAAGCATGCATAGTAGCGTGAGGGTGGGGACTAGAAAAGAGTAGAATAAAAAAAATGGTGAATCGACAACTCAGCCAGCGCACACAATGCACTCACATTTATTATAGAAAATAATAGACAACAATCAGAAATAAATCAAGCCTCAAATTAAGACTATCTTGCACTTGAAACTTGAAGCAAGATAGTTTAGCTCGCTCACACGCAATAGCGTTCTTAATTCTCGTATCGTCTAGATTAATTTGGATTGATTCCTCAAGTCCGTCGATATCATATAGTTTTACCTGTAATTATGATTATTTAATCAAATTCAATCTTTTACTGTAGTAAATTCAAGTATATCGGTGACTATGTCATAGAGTGATGTATTTGTTATTTTTTTAATTATTCATTATATAGATGGTTGAATTTTGTCAGAGAATTCATTCATCATTTATTCTGTTCACCGGATCCATCTTCACTTATTAATAATACATTGAATTCTGACACAAGCCTTGTTACCATTGCAAATGAAGCGTATACACGATGTTTACGACCTTTTCATTCATGGTCGGTACGAGGTATGGCTATGGTAAGTAGTAATTGGATGTTTACATTTGAATAAACAATAGAATTATCTTTTTTATTCATATTAATTAAATATAATGTGAAATGAAATTGATGAAGGTCTCTGTGACCTTGGTTACCTGTATAGTTAGTTGAATTGATGATAATCGTAGAGTGATAGGTTAATCATAAAAGTTCTTAGCTTTCAATAAATAGATTACAGTGTTCAAAATCGTTTCATGCACTTTGGTTTGGACACCCGACTAACCATATCACTAATTCCTTCAAAGACAAAGTTACAAATTTACATACTTGGATTAGAGTTACTCAATGTATAAGTGTCCCCCAAATGCCCTGGTATGGCCGGGAGTGGGGTGGGCCCGTCCTCCCTCTCGAAATGCTCCCACACGGCCACGCGTATACAGCCTCTGCCAGAGAAGTCATACTCACTGCCTTCTCGCACCACGGGTGTTGTTTACGAAAAGCGAATGTCCGGCGCTTTAACCGGATACCAAACCAATGGTGCACATGGGCTCCAGTATCCTGCGGGAACAGACGGCGTATGAACCAATTGTTGGTCACCGGCTACCATGGGACTGCATCTTCTCACGATGCTCCACTGCCTCGTGGATCAGTCCTTCAGGTCGAAGGCTCGGGGTGTAGCCCCCTAAGAAAACCACCTGTTTCGGTTTGGGCACCCAGATAGTATCACAGCCCACACACACACAAATATGGTGTGGCGCATATATATTTGATGTCCTATTGCACCAATATTTATGTGTTCAAATAAATAAATATGTGAGTCGCATGAATGTTTTTTAGATGATCGTATACAACGAGAAATTCTGGATGTAGTTTTTGTGCTGAATAATAATCTTAGTCATACATTCCAGCTTAAATAATCAAATTTAGTCGTTAATTGGACTAGACAAACATAACATTGTTCACTACTCAGTATTATGAATCGATGTTAATATTTGTCTAAAATACCTTAATTACAGCTTTTCTTATTGTAACACTGAGTTACGCTGCGTTAACTCGTTTAAGGATCATCATTGTCTTAAACAGTGGATATATACTATTCTGACGAGTTCCCTTAAGATTACATGTACACTTTACTGATAGTTAGTATGAAATCGAGATCAAACAGGTTTTTCTGTCCGCTACCTTTAACTATCTTACAACAAGTATATCGCTCCAATTGTAGTGAACAGAACACGGGTGGAAACAATCGAATTATATTGAGCACAACATGACAGAGTTACTTGGTAAAATAGAAAAACCATACTATAATACTTCATTTGCAAAATGTTCAATAGTTGTCTCGAACTTTGTTGTTCTTGCATTTCCTTACTAATTACTTTCTATTCCCGCTCTTTCTTTCTTGATCTACCCCATCTTCTGCTGCTAGACATTACATTCCTGGTTCGCGTCATATACTACTTATATATCACGCACATATTATAGTCTTTATCGTTTGATTAGAAAAGTATTATTAGTATTTCTTTGTCAATATAAACCTAAAAATTAGAAGATCATTTAATGATTTATATAGCATAGTCGAACTATAAAATTGTCCGGTAAGATTTGTCCAAACTTTGTTCTTTTTAAAAAAAATACACACACTATTTCATAGACCAACAATCCAATGAAACCAGTTTTCTGTCACTATTTTGTACTTTCAATAATTCTTAACATCAACTAGAACACTTTTAGAGTCCATTATTCTCGAACCTTATTCATCAATGGTGAATGAGTATAATTCATATTAGATTGTTAGGAATGGTTGACATTGTTATAACTTGTGAGTTTGTGCCTCTATCAATGTATAACATAACGATACCACCAATCAGAGGACAATGATTTATCCACCGGACCAATGACGCATAAAACAAGCACGAGCAGTCTAGAGACCTTATCGGTCCTTCTTCTTGCCTATAACTGTCTGTTGGGTCAAGAACACCAACCTCAGCCTCTGTGATATGAATCATGTATTTCAAACATGCTGGGATTATGTACAAACCAGACCGACTATATCATACCATGAAATAGACAATACACATTTGTACAAGATTTCCTCTTACAAAATTCTTTTCATCTCTTTCATTCTCTTCTATTTTTTTCTTTAGGTTATTATACAATCACTTCCTTCACGTTTATACTTATTTGAATTATTACTAATGGATAATCCAGAAACAATACCATCGACAATCACTTCACCGACTGGATTACCTCTTGGGTCTTTCAATGAAACTAAATCATTATTAATACGTTATCCAGAGGCATATATTCAATTAAAATCAGATGCTACACGTTATTCCGAAGCATTAGGTCGTTTTTTAACATTAATTGAAGGTCTTTTAGCCAGTTTAGATTTAAATCGTATATTTACTGGGTCAGAAAGTTATTAATATAGAGAATGAGAGGGAATAAGAAGGGAGGGGGGGTGTTTCGTAACTTTATCTTTTTTAATCCTCATCATATCAGTGTAATTTCGTTGTTTACATTGAACACATTCCTTACTTTGTTTTTATATGTTATGGCTGTTTCTAATATCAATAATAAACCCATAAATTATTCATTTAAAATTATTTTTCTATGTATAGTCTCTTTTTTTTGTAATTTTTTTGTTTATATGTGTTGTCTTTTTGTTTGTGTGTTTGTTATTTCCTTTTTTTCTTTTATTTTTCTTGTTTTTTTTACTCGATGAATTATTTATTGTGTTTTTTTCTCTCTCTTTATTCATTCATAAGTATATTTAAACTACAGATTGAAAGAGTAAGTGATGGAATCAATCACTTCATGTTTTGTTTTGTTTGTTTGTTTGTGTTCATATGTGTACACTGAAAAAAGAGAAGATGTGAGGGGAAGATGAATGGAGGGTAACTTTCACCCTGCTCCCCATTTAATATATTTTATGTTGCCAACGCTCTACACCTACTCACACACACATATATACATACATAATTATTGTCACTGTCATGATATAATTTGTTACGTATCTAATTTATTCAATGCAAAATTTGAGTTTATTCTGTCTGTTATTTCAATGAAATTTTATGTATTTTTTATTCAGTTTATCAATATTATATCCAGATTTTATGTACACGAATTTATGTGTATTCACCAACTTATTTATAATTAATCTATCAATCATGATGATATAGTTCTTTTTGTGTAATACGGATTGAATTATATCCACCAAGTTACAATGTGACTATTAGTCTAAATGACTTGACATCACATGAATCATGTTTTTATAACTTGTGGTGTTGTGTCTCATTAATATGTAATGTATTGATACCGCTAATTAGAGAACAATGACTTATCGACCGGACCAATAACGTGTAAACCCGTACGAACAATCTTATATCCTTATCGGTCCTTCTTACTGCCTAACCCTACCTGTTTGAGTTCAGAACACCGATCTCAGCCTCTGACATATAAATAATGTTTTTCAAACATACTGGATTAATGTACAAACCAAACAGACCACTGATAAGTCTTGCTAATTGAACACTATATTCGGTTCCTAAGCTATTCTCGTAACCCCCAAGCTAGAACTGCACAGTGACCTGAACACGAGAGAAAAGGCGCAAAATATGCGAGAAATGCTTTACTCCAAAGGTTCTTTCTAGTATAGAAAATAGGTGGAGATAGGCCCGACAAGCTTATTTTGTAAATAAGCTTGTAATATTGAACATCTCCGGAGGCCTGTAACCAATACAAATTATAATAAATTTGTTGACACAAAGAAGCCCTTCGTAGAGTGGTGAAGTGTATTTTCAAAAACTTGCATCACTAACAGTTTCCTGTTAACATCCACGATGTTATTCTTATTCGCTAAAACTTGTATATCGTTGTAGACTGTTCATGATTCATAAATCACTGTTTTTATGAGCGATCATTGTATCACACTTTTTAATTTAGAAAAAAACTTATCTCCCCTCGAAATTAAGTAAACTTGTAGGTCACTTGGATGTTTCCAGTTAACAAGACATTTGTTAACACTGCAATCCTTTGGAAATCCTCGGGTTCAAAATGTTTCCGAGACATACTCGAAACCTCATCAAGAGAAAACTTGTTTATCAAGTCACGATACTTGATGATGGACTTCGCTTTCGCAGAACAAATCAAGAGCAGAGCAACAACGCTTAAAACAATGAAAACGCTTAGCCTAACTCACACGCATATACGTGACATGGGGTACAGAAATATTAGTGTGCTTTATCACACCTTTGTTAAGTAAACGTGTCTGAGCAAGAAGCTGCTGTGTTGCGACTTACAGCTTCACCTAAAGCGGAGTACATGCGCCCGATGTAAACAATGACATTTTTTCGAGTTTGGAGTAACTTCGTTGATCTCCCGCTAGTAACCCGAAATACCCACTTTTCTACTACTATTTTGGAAAATTAAAACAGTTCAAAGAATAAGAGCTGCGTTTTCACCTTGCTGGCAGACATCTACATTATCAGATCTGACGATTATAATCATTCCAAGGTTAAACCACTGCTCATTAGATACAGTTGTTTTGATCAGCTCTCCTCCAATGACTGCTTCAAATGCAACGTCTATCTCATTGCAAACATATAACGTGTGTAACGGTTACTGGATCTACAAAACGTTTCTGGCTACTATGATCATAGTTAACACTAAATTTACAACCGCCTGTCAAGTTCTATTCTTGCGAAGCACATATTCACCTCCTTTCACTATTTTTATCCTTCGAAACTTCTTGTTCATTTTCTCCATAAATCGTTTCACAGTCTACTTTTCGAATGATTGAGTGGTAGTCACAGTAATAGCGTTAAAAAACTAACTCCACTAAGGCTACAAGAGAGCTCAGAAGTGCTTTTAATTCAGCTATTGATATTACGATGAAAAACACGGTATCTAGAATTCAGACTGCAAGAAAGCTCAAAGTGCCACCAAACAACCTGTAAAATTATGGTCTAGTTCGTTGTTAGTGCTGCTATAATATTAGACCTAATCCTAAAATTGCAGATTCATCATGAAGTAACTAACTATTCTATTGTATCTTACGAGAAAATCACATCATTGTCTACTCTGACTTATCGAATCGTGACGATTGGCAGTGATAATTAGTACTTCTGTGGAATACATTTACGTTAAAGCTAGAATAATGTAATTAAGGCGAATAAAGACAGGTTAAAAAGAATAATCATGTCTGCGAGGCTGAGCCATGCCAACCAATCGAACTAAATTAAGGCTTCCACGTTCTTCATTGTTAATTTTCTTTTCATGTCAATTGTTAAATGTAAATATATTCAATAATTATATGCTTCGCCCCGAACTTCGTATTGTTAAGGCGTATTGTAATATCTGTAGCGCCTGTGTTCACTTTCGCTGTGATACTTCAGTACCTAGAAAGTACTACGAGTTTAATTTAGGTCACTCCCGTCCGTGATGCTAGTATGTTCTTCCACAATGCAGATGAATATACAAACTGAACTAGAAAAGGAGAGATATGAAACCCTACTGGAAACTCCTAATAATCGGCTGCAATTAAACGCAACTCAATTTCGTAAATGTGCCTTTCAGCTTAGCAACCAATCAGAATGTGGCGGGAATTATTATATCCGCCATCTTTGAACGCAATGGCGGTCGGCTTTCTTCGTTCTGTGCTTCTTTTAGCTATTTCTTTTGTGTAGCTGTGTAATTAATGTTTCAATGTGCTAAGATGCCGCAGTTAGTGTAGGGTTTTACATGTTGGTGTGAAATTTACTTCGAATCAGCATTGTTTTTTGGGTTTTTGCTGCTTCTACTCTAGTCAATGTATTTCTTCAGTCAAGCTGGTTAGTCTTATGTTTTAAAATGAAAATCGATTTAGTTTCGACTTGTTTCCAAGATATCAAAAGCCGAAGTTCGTTTTTTCTTAGCTGAAATAACTGTTGCTGCGTCCTGTGACTGACTGTCCGCATGTTCATTCCTAACTGTCCTCTATGATGTTATCGGCAAAATGAAAGGAAACAATTTCCGGTTTTTAATTTTCTTCAGTATTGCGGACAACAATATCCCACCAATGAGTCAAACTAATACTTAGTGCCTAGCCGTAGGGGATGTCAGTATTGTTTTCGAAAGTACGCAGGCTTCCGACAACCATAGACAAATCCCTACACCTATACCCAATTTGTGCAATACCGATTCAACCAAATACTCAACTGCGGGAACCAAAATACGGATTTGTACCTGATTGAAATTTCTGATTGTTACTAGAACTCAATTGTCCGTTGACGATGAGTAGCAGCGTGTGCGCGTGAAGAGGAGAACCAGCAACAGCATAACTCATAAAACTCTAAAGGTGGTAGACAGACGTTCGAAAAACCTTCTTCATTCCACTTTACGTTCCAGTGTTGGACGCAAGGTTAATAAAACGTAAGACAGCTTTGGATGAATAACAGTAGGACAATTGTTATTCAATTCCTGTAGTAGGTACAATCCAAGCAATACTATCTCAGTATTATAAAGGTCAGAATTTGGTAAGTGAAAATTAGTGTTCGACTAATTACTAGCAGGAAACTTCTACATTCTAACCCTAAACTGTCGGCAAGTGGGACAAAACCCCTACACAGTCGTTTCATTAGCGGCTCACCAGATAAATTAGACGTTCAAGAATGACTGAGTATTTGGTTGGCGCCACGAGATGAGATGTGGACAAAAATTCCTCGAACTTTGACCATTCGCCGACAAACGATCAGCATTCAGTTGAGGTTACCTACACTGAAGCTGTAAACATTGTACATTAATGTTCAAGAAGGTCACAAATGCGGTACTTGGGAGGAACGGGGACACTCTCTGCCTTAGCCACACGAGAGCAGATTGAATGCCCGTGAGAGTGACGGTGGCTCTCAGTGCATGATCGTCGGGAGATAGTGAGCGATACTATTCTGAACTCTACCTTACACAAAGAATCTCAAGCACATACACTCTTGAAAGCAGAATATCTTGATTTAAGTGAAGAATAGAATGTTCGCTACAAGCTGAAAGGAAAGCTTATCCCAGGTGGAGGATGTGGCTTCGGGATTTTCACTGTGGCACTTGTCGTTGAGAAACAAATGTAACGCGAAAGTCTGAAGACATAAAAGAAATTTCCAGTACAAGCTAGAAACCACAATGCAAGGCAGCCTTTAGTTTCTCTGCAGATTCTTGAGTAGCGGAGAACCTACACACCGGAGGATAAGTGCAGTTAAAGGGCTGAGTGACGAAGATATTACTAACTCAGAGATGGGAGAAATCCTTCATGCCACCCTAATACACGAGAAGCATGTAAGCGCAGAACACTCCTTTGTGAGCGAGGAGAATAATGATTGGTTATTTGTATCGTCAGACTACTAGATAGTTTGATCAGCCTCACTTCATATTGTTCTCCAGATTTTTGCATCCACAAACAATAATGTCGACGATTTAAGCAACAGCAGTAATTCACTAGCGTAGAGAAAGAAAAGTAGGGGGCGCAAGACACATTGGGGTACACCAATTTTGACCGGTTTCCATTCAGATAGCGTTCCAATGACCCACACCTTCTGTCTGCGGTCACATAAGTATTTTCGTATCCATTCCTGTACAGCACCTGTTATTCCAAAGCTCAAAAGCTTTTTCATAAAGCCTAAGTGTGAAACACTGTCAAACACTTTTCTAAAATTTATGGATATCACATCGACAGACAGACCGTTATCTGGGGTTACTGTCCAATTCTCTCTCGCAATAAGTGAGTTAGTCAAGCATGAACGCTTGTTACGAAACCCTTGTTGCTCGGGAGTTAGGAGATTGTGTGAATCTATGTGATTTAGTAGCTTAACCCAAAATATCTTTTCAAGTAACTTTACGACTATGTTAGTCGTACTGACAGACCAGTAGTTAGATACGATCTGCCTCTGACCATCCTTAAATATAGGACTGACTATAGAGTCTTTCGAATCTTTAGGGAGTTGAGCGAGTGAAAGGGACTGGTTGAAGAGTGTCGCAAATCATTTAAAGACAATGCGATTTAGGCTTCGAGCATATTGTGTATGCGGCAGGACTTAAATGGGTTAACATCTTATGGAACTACTTATTTCACTCATCGCACTACATTCCTGCCTCCACAGGGAACAAACAGTTTGGTTGTCTTCAACCAACCATTGCAATCAGACTAAGAATGTTTAGAACACAATATGAACACAAGTGTCAGTCAAAGAGAAAGAAGGTACCACGAGACAAAGTTTATCAAGATTTCAAACCTTAACCGAAAGTGGACCAACAATGCCGTTGATGCAACAAGTACACAAAAGCAAGCTAATCAAAGCAAGTAAAAAATTACTGCCCTTTTTGAAACGCGCGTCAGGTATCCTGTTTCACTTGCAGTCCTACGGAAATTTGCTCCTAATGGTCACTTTATTGCATGATACTGAGCTAGTAGCCTGGACAGCACTTCAAATTGTAAAGTGGATGTACATGAGGTAAACTCAAGTGTTAAACTTACGCGAATACTAATCGGCGCAATCACTCTGGAATTTCCGCTAGATCTTTTGAAACATACTCACGGCCGTACCTTGAAGTGCACAACCCTTGCGCACCTCATCTCTTTGAAAGAGAAAAATCTTTCACATCAAGTATAGAGACGGGCAACAAAGTGGATAATAACGCTGATACAAATCTTATTATGAAAGTCTCCAGCACCTAGGATTATTGTCACTGAGCTTTATAAGAATGATGGGTGAACTAGTACCGGCATTCAGCATATTGAGTACGCCAAGCCAAACCGAAACGAGGATCTTTCCCAGATAGCAATCAGTTTATACAAGCTCGTGGCGAAGTATTGAATACCTGAAGGTCGATGAGACAGGCGCGCTGTAGGGATCCCGCGGCATGACTTCTAAAGTTAGTAGACTATCATCGCTTGTTATTAACTCGGATCCTGTATATCTGAAAAGCGAGAGGTAATATAAATAATTGAAATACATTTTTTCCAGTCGCATTGTTTACTCCTCTGACAAGTTTGTTGTTGTTCTTGATGCACGCACGGGAGTCTCTCAGTTCTTACACGGACATAGAGACTCAGTGGTTTGGATTGTCCCTGGAATTGACAAACCCCATCATGTATGTCTCTAAGTGGCTTGCTAATGTTTCAGGTGATTTCTGGCGGTCTAGATGGAAAGCTAATCGTTTGGGATACTAAGACATTTGAGAAGGTCCAGGTAAGTTTTTGATCCAATGTACAATATCGTAAAGATTTTGAATACCAGGTTCCCAATAGACTTCTGCTTTCCTACTGCAACTGGCTACATTTTTAGCCATACTTGCAAAAACAAACGTAGATGAGTAGTAATTATGTATATTCTTTTGTAGATGTCGTGAAGTCATATGACCGCTCTACAGGAAGTTATGTAGACTACGTAGAATTCCCTCAGAATGCTATTATTATTTATTTATTTCAACACATAGATAATGGTACAAAGAGGCACCAAATACATATGCGCCACACAAATCTCATCCGATATGTGTGAGGGCTGTGATACTGCCCGGGTGCCCAAACCGAAGCAGGAGAATGCTATTATGGCGTATAAAGTATAAGATTTACGTTCTTAATCAGTTGTAGGATTCTGATTTTGTAGCATGTATAGTCGACTCCATCCTTATCGTATACTGGATTAACTTAAATGTCTCAGTGAGGTAATTCTTTGACTGTTAATATTAAGGTATTTATTTCCTCATAGTATTCTTCTGTTTGAATTGACTTTCGCCGTTTAAAAATAAACGCATTAAGGTCTTGTTTTCTCCAAACAAACTGGTTTACATAAAACTAAGTTATCGTGAAGTTCATGCGACTGGATCTCTTCATAAATTTGAATGAATCAAAGAGAACATTACTATCAGAATGCGACAGATTCACTATATGTTACTCAAGAAAAAATAAAAGTCTGTAGACTTGTCGTTTATATCATAAACTTGAATAGTAGATGCTACTATTGATAAAATTTAGTGGCAAAAATTTATTAACTTGGGCTGCCATTTACTAAATTTTATGTAACGCTTCATTTTGGGTACATTCACAAATTACATTTCTCTTTTTAAACAGTCGTAACTTAATCGAAAGTGTAATGTGATTCTACTTGCTGATGCACCAGATTTATTGGTTTCTTACTTATCTGTCCAGTGTATTCTATACATAAATACATAAAAGAATGAAATAAGTTGATCCTATCATCCTTAATTGGTCTTTATGATGACAAGCTTTTGCGTGCACTCTTGTGATTATCATGAACTGTCACTAATGAGTATAAAGCATAACTTAGTGGTTTGTTAACAATGGATACATCCATTTTTTTTCACTGTTTGGAAACATTCGTTCAGTCCGTCTAACAGTACATCTTGTTAGTAGTCAAAGCAGCGTTAAACCTGCCATATATTTGCATCTGTTTCAGTTGCCATACCACAGCTTTACGATGTCGTTGAGCAAATGAATATATACATTTCTTCCCACCATTCGGTTACCTAATTAAGTCAGTACTAACACTCATGCTTACTGAACAGCTGAATTTATCTCTATTTTAGTATCATTGTTCGTGGGAGCCTTCTTCGTCTTGAAGTCATGGGATATCTTCCTTTTTACGAAGTAAAACTGTTCTTCATGTAGGCAACCTCTGGGTTTTTTGATCATATTGGCATGTTTTATATCTAACATCCTTACTAAGGTTTGTTTTTAGTGGATAGACTACATTCCGTCAGTTAATTTATTTTAGTTCAGTCTGATAGAAAGGTTGACTTGAGTTTTAAAATTCGATGTCTTTATGCTTGAGTCATTTGTTTTCTTTCGAGTAACGTTACTATGGCTTACATCAAATTGCAAATGCTTAATAAGGGTGAAGCCATACTATCTCAAACTTGACAACTAATACAGTATTATACAAATAGTTGGACATGTTTACCGAGTAGCAGTCATAACAGTTGGTCATACCTTTTGTGACGATTCGGTCGAACTTAATCACTTGTTTACTGAATTTCTAACATTTTAACTAAATGGAAGTATTCGTTCTCTTTAAGGATGTATTTATGTAAATATCGACGAGAGTCTAATTTAGCGACGACCTTTGAACGAATCTTAAATGACCTTGACAATTATTAGCCAGTCAAAAGACAGTAAGTATAAAGTGAAAATATAAGTAATGAATTACAGTGGATATTCTTCTTTTACATGATTTAAAAACTTGTTAAGGTTTGATAAATGTTCAGAGGTTCTGAATTCATAATGAATATAGTATAGAAACTCGTCCATAGGATTAGGGTTTAAGTTAGGGTTGAGGTTGTAGCCTCTCAATAAACACCTCTAAAATCCGATGTAAACCGATCGCATGTTAGTACCCTAACTTTAACCCTAAACCCTAACCCTATACCATATGCATTATGAATTCAGAACTTCTGAGCCTTTATCAAACCTTAACAAGTTTTTAAATCATGTGAAAGAAGGATATCCACTGCAGTTCATTACTTTCTTGTAATATATTTTTACTTTATATTGTCTTCTGATTGGCTAATAATTGAAATTGCTCAAACGCTTCTGATTGGCTCGTCCCTAAATTATAGTCTCGCCGTCCCATCTATTGTAACCTCTTAGTAATCACCTCCTCTCTAAAATCCGCTGTGAACCGATCGTATGTTAGCATCGCGTGTTGAACTTGGCTCCGTGACCTTAAAACTGTTCAAACGCTTCTGATTGGCTCGCCGCTAAATTAGAGTCTCGCCTAAATTTCGCTTCAGTTTGGGCGCGCGGGGAATATTCCAGCCCTCACACAAATCGAATGACAAAGTGTGACACACATATCTGGTGCCTCCTTGTACCAATGTTAATGTAATCAAAGTAACTTTCACTCCCTTTCATAGGTATTCGGTTCCTAATAATGAAAAGCATTCAGAACAAAAGAATTACACATGCGTCGCAGCACATCCAAACGACTGCATCGTTGCTACAGGAAATGGTCTTGGTGAAATATTCATTTGGTGGAATTTATGTGCTCAAACTGATGATCATTTAAACATGCTAAACCCTGTTTCTGACGAATGGACTGGAAATGAAAATTGCGCAGAAAATGATGCTTTCGATGATGTCAAAAAAGCTATCAAAGAACATTTGGCGGAAGGTCGTTTATTCACTTATTACCCAGTTCATCCTTCTCATGTTAAAAGGTCCTTACTTCATTGGCATTCTGTACAAGTGACAAGTCTTTGCTTTACGTCATGCGGTTAGTTACAAATGCAATGTTTTTATGTCAGTCATATTACGTGTTAGGAAACTTGTTCGGTTATTTTGTAACTGAATGATATTTTTGTGATCTATAAAATCTTTAAAAACTGTCCTACATCACATGTATTGGTTTCGTTCTTGTACCCTTATATCGTCTTCTGTCTCACTCTCTAATACTTAATCATACTTTTCATCACGGAACACATTGTATGTATTATGCTTCCAAGGAATCGAATCGTGGGGTCAATTATTTTTATTAATAACATGTTCGGTAATTTTAGTATTTTGTTAGTTAACATGTATTATTTCAGGGAGTTACTTTTCATTCTCATTCATCCAATATAAGCACTTATTGGAGCCTGTTAAGAATTGAAAATGTGCTAACATTTATTTTGTCTTACCAAAAGTTGTCTCGTGCGTTAAAATGAGCGTACTACGAGTTCGAAGCATGCAGTAATCAAAAGTCTTATCAATTTACAGGCACTCATCTTCTCTCTGGTGGTTTGGAAGGTGTGTTGGTCAAATGGGATGTGACTGACTGTTTTGGAGGTCCACAACAGCGTCGTTTTCTACCTCATTTTGGCTATCCAGTATCTTCTGTTCGAAGTCATGGTGGTTTATGTGAAGATATGATATCTGTCAATTTGGAGAATAATTGTAAGTATTTACTTACTATATATTTTAGGAAATAATTTTTGTCATCGTTATCGGATTAAACTGTTTTTGGGAAATGATTTTGGTGACCTTTACTAATTTTTCATACGGCATCCCCTGGTTCTTCATAACAGTCACTGTCATGAGGCAAAAATTACTGTGGGATACAAGTAATCAATGCTTCATAAGTTACTCTGTAAGCTCTATTTTGGCATGCTTGTCAGTTGCAGATTAATTTGAATATCATGCTTCTAGAAATTCTATTCTGTTTATATTTCGTTGAGCCGAATTTCGGTAATTTATGCACTTAAATCAGTTTTTTGTCGTGCTCAAACGTTTGTGTAAAAGCAGCGATACCGCTCAGTTACTCTAAACCAACGATAGTAGTTTTGATCGATATCGTAAAAAATCTCGCCATACATATCCCGCTATACTTCATTTACTTTGCGTTTACTATTCCGTCTTTGGCTTGTCGTTTCAAGTTTTGACTAATGTACTCCTCGAGTGATAAGAATAACCGTAAGTTAAGTTCGAGATCATCCTAATTCCTATTTATTTACTGATAAACGCCCCAGCTAAGTTTCTATTATTGTATTTCAAGCACACATGCCTTTATATATATCAGTATTTCAGGCTGCATCACACCATAAATTTGAAGATCCTACTCTATACCTAAACAAGTAAAATATGGCAGCGAATAGGGCAAGCCGTCAATAACTGATTAGCAATAATTTAGGAATAAATTCATGTGTAACCACAGTTAAGAGATCCAACAAAAACTTAAAATAATGGGAATATAGGAAGCCTAGTTACTTAATAATTGTACGATATGAATATATATAACAATAATAGTAATAATAATCCAGAAAAAAGCAAGTCCACATCATTAAGAAAACTTTTGTTTCTTTTTTTCAATTTATTTAAACTCATCAGCATTTCATATTATGGATGGAGCTTTTACAATAATCTACTCAAAACAAGGTTTTATGCAATTACCTAAACACTGGTTTCCAATTCCTGTTACATTAACGATGCCCGGAAATTTAATGACTTTACAAAGTAAACTTCCACATAGAGATGATGAATTGTCTTCGACTTATCTCTTGACAAATGGTGGCTGTGGCAAAATACAACTAATGAATGTACATGACCGTGAACATTGTGTTCAAACGGTAATCAATTATTATTGTGTGGATGCAGTGTTGATTAAAAACTTTATGATAATTTATTTATTTGTTTAAACACATAACCCATGGTACAAGGAGGCGCCACACTTCGTCATTAGATTTATGTGAGGGTTGGAATCAGTCAGTCAGTCAGTAACAACGTAGAACTTAGTACGTACGTACATCAGTTCGAGTTGCCATACCACATTAGCACAGAGATGCAGTGGTCGATTCAAATCCCGTAGTGGTAGAGGTAGCAAGAGTATAAGCAGTAATCGGGAAGATTAGGGTTTGGAGATGTTATTTAACGAGTATAATCCAGTGAAATAAATTTGGAAAGAGGAAAAAAAAGGGCCATGAAGAATTCAGATAATTAGAATTTGGGAGAACATAGAGAGTGGATGCACCTGCGCCATTGCAAACGATTTTGAGCCATGTCATTCAGGGTCTCTAACCATCGGTTGCTATCATCTCGCGGTCCCCAACCAGGTAGTCTACACCTACCAACATGACTCAGTTCACTTGTCAGTGACTTCATGGATTTGTGCCATGTTTTGGTCTGGCCGCCCCTAGCTTTCTTCCAACCTACTCCTATACCACTGAATATAGCACGTCGAGGTAGTCGGTGGTTGGGCATACGTAACACGTGTCCCAGCCATCTCAACTGTTGAAGTTTCACTACTTCATCAATTGATTTGCCATCCTTACCTAGTACCCGTTTCCGAGGGTTGGAATGCTGTCCGGACGCCCAAACCGAAGCAGGTTATGGTAATATATTCAGATTGATTCCAGTGGAGTTCATCTGTATCGGGTGTGAGGGAGGTACACACTGACCATAATAGAAGATGCTCGCGCAATATCGCGGATCAATTGAATTTAGACATTAACACGGACGAGTCCTTACTAAGTGGCATGCGAAATCGATGGTCCTGGCTTTGATCCCCGGTGATCAGTTTGTCGGTGCCCACTGATAAAGAGTTTCAAATGAGGATGAAACAGCTATCCAGTCTTTCCAGATCACTCCGTGATTTCTATGAGATTCAACAATCCTCACATCCCCATACAAATAATTCCAATAAGGCGGATAATATTTTGCAGAAAGGGTTTATTATTTTACCCAATAAACCTTTGTTTAGTCGTGGATTAGTGATAAGTACGTTCAGCTTTCAGTTTCTAAGTTCCAAGCATTGAACACGTCCCACTTCGGTTTAAGTAACCAGTTAGTATTGGTTCTATAAATTTTGGATTGTTACAATAAATTCAATTTTATCCAAAGTTCAACATTGTTGTGCCGTGATGTGGTATGATGTAGCGAATTTTCCCATAGTATTTCAATAAACGCCAACTAACCTTCAACTGCTGATCGAATTATAACGATAATTTTTATTCATCAATTGTCACTCATGTTGTAAATAACTTCAACGTCTATCAACATCTTCATATGACTGCTCTAACTGTGACAGTTCAACAGTATTTCGGTCCACCATACAACAGCTTCCTTATCTCTAAAGCTCCCACTCCTGCAAAATATAAATCTCACAACGAAGATTTATTCATGATACAGTCAAATAAATTGGAATTATTTCCGAGTTTACTCGGTCTTGTATCGACTAAATTGAGTGATTATTCGTTTTAAAAATTATAAATTAGAGTAATCATCATTTGAACACCGAAACTACAAAGAGTCGATTAAAATCGACAATGTACATTGTGAGTGCATTTCCATTCTACTCCTGTATTCAACTATCAATTAGATTTGGGTAAAAGGAAACGACTATTTAAATGAGATAATAGGTTGAACATTGACAAATTTTATTTACAAACAATTGAGAATTTTCTAATATGAACGAGAACACATATGAAGAACATAGAAGGACCCTTCCATAGTGTGGGCAACCGGAAGTGAAGACCTTCCTCATACCTCCAACAGCACTCAAGACCACTGTATTCATAATCAATTTCCCTGTTCAATTCCTATTATTCCCCGTACTTCGAATTCCAACTGTAAAGTCCCTCTTTTGACTTCCTGAAGTGTCACCATGGCCAACGATTGTTGTGCTCGAAACACTCTCAAGTCTATAAAAACCTCGCTCCAAAATACACATTAGAGCCTTCAGCGTACTCATCCTATATCAAATCGGTCAGCAGGCCTCTGGCTGAAACCCTAAAATCTCGTACCATTGATGTACGCTGTAACTCCAAAACACGAATAAAGGACCCTAGTGTGGTCATTCACTTGACATCACTTAGGCAAAACGAAGATCCGACGAGATACACTGTCCGTGTATCTGGCGGCCCGATGGTTGGTTCTTGTGAACCGACGTGTGTATATATAGCATTGAGTACGAGGGCAGAACAAACACTATTATAGTGGGTCCCCGTTAACAGTCGTCTATGTGCTGTTCGGCTAAGCGGCTCCGTAAGAACTCGGAAGGATAGGGACACACTTCGTTGCCTTTTCGTCGTTTCTGTCTACGCTCCCATTGACTGCAGCCCGAATAAAACGAAAGATGACTTTTGCAGAAAGCTTTTGGAACTTCTTCAAAAACCTAAACGCTCAGACATAGTACTCGTAGCAGGTTACTTTAATTCCCAAGTAGGTAGCTTAAACCAAACAGCAAGTCATTTAGGTGGGTAATTTATTATCCCTGCTCAGCGAACAGATAATGGTGATCGTCTGTTGCAACTGTGCTCCGTCAGTCGTTTGCTTTTAGCGAGCATTAATTTTAAGCATAAGGAGAGACATCATCTAACATGGCGACCCCCTACACCAAACCAACGATGGACTCAAATAGATCATATTGCCATCAGTCATCGTTGAAAAGGGTCGATAGAAGACTTTCTCTCGTTCTGGAATGCTTGCTTGGACTCCAACAATGCCCTAATATAAGCACGCATCTGCTTGCGCCTCATGACTCAGAAAGGCCACACAAAAAGACCCATTACAATTGAATTGAGTGACGAGAAGGCCGAAAGTAGATTCCAGGAACAACTGAGGTCACACTTAGTTCTAAAAACGAGATGTTGCTTGGAAGGATATACGAACAGTTGTGGAAATAGCAGCGACATTTATTAATTACTTGAACTAAATTGTTAACCAAAAGTCTACGGAATGATCGTGAAAAGTGGTGAGCAACGAACACATAAGAGATGGAGAAGGTAGTTTCTGTAGGTAACACCAGACAGCTTTTCAAACTAATAAAAGAAACTGGAATTAAGAAGTCAAGTGTAAGTGAGACAGTTTCAGAGAAAGTGACATTTCCTCTTTTTTTCTCACTATAGATTGATATTACTCACCAAAATCTTGTTGTCAGAAGTACGGATTCAAAACATCCAATTATACATGCTGAAGTATTACTAATGGCCCAGTTGTGCACTGATGTTTCATTTACATGGTTTGTGACTTATGAATGTGTAAAAAAGTTAGCTGATCATGAACAAGGATTACCAATTGATGATCAGTCACGTTTAACTTGGTGGCAGTGCCATGAATCAGAAAAAGAGAATAGAATAATAGAATAATAGACAACAATCAGAAATAAAGCAAGCCTCAAATTAAGACAATCTTGCACTTGAAACTTGAAGCAAGATAGTTTAGCTCGCTCACACGCAATAGCGTTCTTAATTCTCCTATCGTCTAGATTAATTTGGATTGATTCCTCAAGTCCGTCGATATCATATAGTTTTACCTGTAATTATGATTATTTAATCAAATTCAATCTTTTACTATAGTAAATTCAAGTGTATCGGTGACTATGTCATAGAGTGATGTATTTGTTATTTTTTTAATTATTCATTATATAGATGGTTGAATTTTGTCAGAGAATTCATTCATCATTTATTCTGTTCACCGGATCCATCTTCATTCATTAATAATACATTGAGTTCTGATACAAGCCTTGTTACCATTGCAAATGAAGCGTATACACGATGTTTACGACCTTTTCATTCATGGTCTGTACGAGGTATGGCTATGGTAAGTAGTCATTTGATGTTTACGTTTGAATTAAACAACAGAATTATCTGTTTTATTCATATTAATTACATATAATATGAAATGAAATTGATGAAGGTCTCCGTGACCTTGGTTACCTGTATAGTTGGTTGAATAATCGTAGAGTGATAGGTTAATCATAAAGGTTCTTAGCTTTTCAATAAATAGATTACAGTGTTCGAAATCGTTCCATACACTTTGGTCTGGACACCCGACTGACCATATCACTGATTCCTTTAAATACAAAGTTAAAAATTTACATACTTGGATTAGAGTTACTCAATATGTAAGTGGCCCCCAAATGCCCTGGTATGGCCGAGAGTGGGGTGGGCTCGCCCTCCCTCTCCAAATGCTCCCACACGGCCACGCGTATACATCCTCTGCCAGGGAATTTCTACTCACTACCTTCTCGTGGCGGGAGTGTTGTTTACGATATTGAGAGAACGAAAAGCAAATGTCCGGAGCTTTAACCGGATCCCAAAACAATGGTGCACATGGGCTCCAGTATTCTGCGGGAACAAATGGCGTATGGACCAATTGTTGGTCACCGGCCACCATGGAACCGCCTCTCCTCACGATGCTCCACTGCCTCGTAGATCAATCCTTCAGGTCGAAGGCTCGGGTTGTGGCCCCCTAAGAAAACCGCCTGTTTCGGTTTGGGCACCCGGACAATATCACAGCCCACACACACACACACAAATATGGTGTGGCGCATATATATTTGGTGCCCTATTGCACCAATATTTATGTGTTCAAATAAATAAATATGTGAGTCGCATGAATGTTTTTTAGATGATCGAATACAACGAGAAATTCTGGATGTAGTTTTTGAGCTGAATAATAATCTTAGTCATACATTCCAGCTTAAATAATCAAATTTAGTCATTAATTGGACAAGACAAACATAACATTGTTCACTAATCAGTATTATGAATCGATGTTAGTATTTGTCTAAAATACCTTAATTACAGCTTTTCTTATTGTAACACTGAGTTACGCTGCGTTAACTCGTTTAAGGATCATCATTGTCTTAAACAGTGGAAATATACTATTCTGACGAGTTCCCTTTAGATTACATGTACACTTTACTGATAGTTAGTATGAAATCGAGATCAAACAGGTTTTTCTGTCCGCTACCTTTAACTATCTTACAACAAGTATATCGCTCCAATTGTAGTGAACAGAACACGGGTGGGGACAATCGAATTATATTGAGCACAACATGACAGAGTTACTTGTTAAAATAGAAAAACCATACTATAATACTTCATTTGCAAAATGTTCAATAGTTGTCTCGAACTTTGTTGTTTTTGCATTTCCTTACTAATTACTTTCTATTCCCGCTCTTTCTTTCTTGATGTACCCCATCTTCTGCTGCTAGACATTACATTCCTGGTTCGCGTCATATACTACTTATATATCACGCACATATTATAGTCTTTATCGTTTGATTAGAAAAGTATTATTAGTATTTCTTTGTCAATATAAACCTAAAAATTAGATCATTTAATGATTTATATAGCATAGTCCAACTATAAAATTGTCCGGTAAGATTTGTCCAAACTTTGTTCTTTTTAAAAAAAATACACACACTCTTTCATAGACCAACAATCCAATGAAACCAGTTTTCTGTCACTATTTTGTACTTTAAATAATTCGTAACATCAACTAGAACACTTTTAGAGTCCATTATTCTCGAACCTTATTCATCAATAGTGAATGAGTATAATTCATATTAGATTGTTAGGAATGGTTGACATTGTTATAACTTGTGAGTTTGTGCCTCTATCAATGTACAACATAACGATACCACCAATCAGAGGACAATGAATTATCCACCGGACCAATGACGCATAAAACAAGCACGAGCAGTCTAGAGACCTTATCGGTCCTTCTTCTTGCCTATATCTGTCTGATGGGTCAAGAACACCAACCTCAGCCTCTGTGATATGAATCATTTATTTCAAACATACTGGGTTTGTGTACAAACCAAACTGACCATATCATACCATGAAATAGAAAATACACATTTGTATAAGATTTTCTCTTACAAAATTCTTTTCATCTCTTTCATTCTCTTCTATTTTTTTCTTTAGGTTATTATACAATCACTTCCTTCACGTTTATACTTATTTGAATTATTATTAATGGATAATCCAGAAACGATACCATCGACAATCACTTCACCGACTGGATTACCTCTTGGGTCTTTCAATGAAACTAAATCATTATTAATACGTTATCCAGAGGCATATATTCAATTAAAATCAGATGCTACACGTTATTCCGAAGCATTAGGTCGTTTTTTAACATTAATTGAAGGTCTTTTAGCCAGTTTAGATTTAAATCGTATATTTACTGGTTCAGAAAGTTATTAATATAGAGAATGAGAGGGAATAAGAAGGGAAAGTAGGGTCTGTTTCGTAACTTTATCTTTTTTAATCCTCATCATATCAGTGTAATTTCGTTGTTTACATTGAACACATTCCTTACTTTGTTTTTATATGTTATGGCTGTTTCTAATATCAATAATAAACCCATAAATTATTCGTTTAAAATTATTTTTCTATGTATAGTCTCCTTTTTTTTGTAATTTTTTTTGTTTATATGTGTTGTCTTTTTGTTTGTGTGTTTGTTATTTCCTTTTTTTCTTTTATTTTTCTTGTTTTTTTTTTACTCGATGAATTATTTATTGTGTTTTTTTCTCTCTCTTTATTCATTCATAAGCATATTTAAACTACAGATTGAAAGAGTAAGTGATAGAATCAATCATTTCATGTTTTGTTTGTTTGTGTTCATATGTGTACACTGAAAAAAGAGAAGGTGTGAGGGGAAGATGAGTGGAGGGTAACTTTCACCCTGCTCCCCATTTAATATATTTTATGTTGCCAACGCTCTACACCTACTCACACACACATATATACATACATAATTATTGTCATTGTCATGATATGATTTGTTACGTATCTAATTTATTCAATGCAAAATTTGTTGCGTAAGAGTTTATTCTGTCTGTTATTTCAATGAAATTTTATGTATTTTTTATTTAGTTTATCAATATTATATCCAGATTTTATGTACACGAATTTATGTGTATTCACCAACTTATTTATAATTAATCTATCAATCATGATGATATAGTTCTTTTTGTGTAATACGGATTGAATTATATCCACCAAGTTACAATGTGACTATTAGTCTAAATGACTTGACATCACATGAATCATGTTTTTATAACTTGTGGTGTTGTGTCTCATTAATATGTAATGTAATGATACCGCTAATTAGAGAACAATGACTTATCGACCGGACCAATGACGTGTAAACCCGTACGAACAATCTTATATCCTTATCGGTCCTTCTTACTGCCTAACCCTACCTGTTTGAGTTCAGAACACCGATCTCAGCCTCTGACATATGAATAATGTTTTTCAAACATACTGGATTAATGTACAAACCAAACAGACCACTGATAAGTCTTGCTAATTGAACACTATATTCGGTTCGTAAGCTGTTCTCGTAACCCCCAAGCTAGAACTACACAGTGACCTGAACACGAGAGAAAAGGCGCAAAATATGCGAGAAGTGTTTTACTCCAAAGGTTCTTTCTAGTATAGAAAATAGGTGGAGATAGGCCCGACAAGCTTATTTTGTAAATAAGCTTGTAATATTGAACATCTCCGGAGGCCTGTAACCAATACAAATTATAATAAATTTGTTGACACAAAGAAGCCCTTCGTAGAGTGGTGAAGTGTATTTTCAAAAACTTGCATCACTAACAGTTTCCTGTTAACATCCACGATGTTATTCTTATTCGCTAAAACTTGTATATCCTTGTAGACTGTTCATGATTCATAAATCACTGTTTTTATGAGCGATCATTGTATCACACTTTTTAATTTAGAAAAAAACTTATCTCCCCTCGAAATTAAGTAAACTTGTAGGTCACTTGGATGTTTCCAGTTAACAAGACAGGTGTTAGCACTGCAATCCTTTGGAAATCCTCGGGTTCAAAATGATTCCGAGACATACTCGAAACCTCATCAAGAGAAAACTTGTTTATCAAGTCACGATACTTGATGATGGACTTCGCTTTCGCAGAGCAACAACGCTTAAAACAATTAAAACGCTTAGCCTAACTCACACGCATATACGTAACATGAGACATGAGGTACAGAAATATTAGTGTGCTTTGTCACACCTTTGTTAAGTAAACGTGTCTAAGCAAGAAGCTGCTGTGTTGTGACTTACAGCTTCACCTAAAGTGGAGTACATGCGCCCGATGTAAACAATGACATTTTTTCGAGTTTGGAGTAACTTCGTTGATCTCCCGCTAGCACCCGAAATACACACTTTTCTACTAGTATTTTGGAAAATTAAAACAGTTCAAAGAATAAGAGCTGCGTTTTCACCTTGCTGGCAGACATCTACATTATCAGATCTGACGATTATAATCATTCCAAGGTTAAACCACTGCTCATTAGATACAGTTGTTTTGATCAGCTCTCCTCCAATGACTGCTTCAAATGCAACGTCCATCTCATTGCAAACATATAACGTGTGGAACGGTTACTGGATCTACAAAACGTTTCTGGCTACTTTGATCATAGTTAACACTAAATTTACAACCGCCTGTGAAGTTCTATTTTTGTGAAGCACATATTCACCTCCTTTCACTATTTTTATCCTTCGAAACTTACTTCTTGTTCATTTTCTCCATAAATCGTTCCACAGTCTACTTTTCGAATGATTGAGTGGTAGTCACAGTAATAGCGTTAAAAAAGTAACTCCACTAAGGCTACAAAAGAGCTCAGAAGTGCTTTTAATTCAGCTATTGATATTACGATGAAAAACACGGTATCTAGAATTCAGACTGCAAGAAAGCTCAAAGCGCCACCAAACAACCTGTAAAATTGTGGTCTAGTTCGTTGTTAGTGCCGCTATAATATTAGACCTAATCCTAAAATTGCAGATTCATCATGAAGTAAATAACTATTCTATTGTATCTTACGAGAAAATCATATCATTGTCTACTCTGACTTATCGAATCGTGACGATTGGCAGTGATAATTAGTACTTCTGTGGAATACATTTACGTTAAAGCTAGAATAATGTAATTAAGGCGAATAAAGACAGGTCAAAAAGAATAACCATGTCTGCGAGGCTGAGTCATGCCAACCAATCGAACTAAATTAAGGCTTCCACGTTCTTCATTGTTAATTTTCTTTTCATGTCAATTGGTAAATGTAAATATATTCAGTAATTATATGCTTGGCCCCGAACTTCGTATTTTTAAGGTGTATTGTAATATCTGTAGCGCCTGTGTTCACTTTCGCTGTGATACTTCAGTACCTAGAAAGTACTACGAGTTTAATTTAGGTCACTCTCGTCCGTGATGCTAGTATGTTCTTCCACAATGCAGATGAATATACAAACTGAACTAGAAAATGAGAGATATGAAACCCTACTAGAAACTATCCTAATAATCCCTACTCCTATACCCAATTTGTGCAATACCGACTCAACCAAATACTCAACTGCGGGAACCAAAATACGGATTTGTGCCTGATTGAAATTTCTGATTGTTACTAGAACTCGATTGTCCGTTGACGATGAGTAGCAGCGTGTGCGCGTGAAGAGGGAAACTAGCAACAGCATAACTCATAAAACTCTAAAGGTGGTAGACAGACGTTCGAAAAACCTACTTCATTCCACTTTACGTTCCAGTGTTGGACGCCAGGTTAATAAAACGTAGGAGAGCTTTGGATGAATAACAGTAGGACAATGGTTAGTCAATTCCTGTAGTAGGTACAATCCAAGCAATACTATCTCAGTATTATAAAGGTCAGAACTTGGTAAGTGAAAATTAGTGTTCGACTAATTACTAGCAGGAAACTTCTACATTCTAACCCTAAACTGTCGGCAAGTGGGACAAAACCCCTACACAGTCGTTTCATTAGCGGCTCACCAAATAAATTAGACGTTCAAGAATGACTGAGTATTTGGTTGGCGCCACGAGATGAGATGTGGACAAAAATTCCTCGAAATTTGACCATTCGCCGACAAACGATCAGCATTCAGTTGAGGTTACCTACACTGAAGCTGTACACATTGAACATTATTGTTCAAGAAGGTCACAAATGCGGTACTTGGGAGGAACGGGGACACTCTCTGCCTTAGCCACACGAGAGCAGATTGAATGCCCATGAGAGTGACGGTGGCTCTCAGTGCATGATCGTCGGGAGATAGTGAGCGATACTATTCTGAACTCTACCTTACACAAAGAATCTCAAGCACATACACTCTTGAAAGCAGAATATCTTGATTTAAGTGAAGAATAGAATGTTCGCTACAAGCTGAAAGGAAAGCTTATCCCAGGTGGAGGATGTGGCTTCGGGATTTTCACTGTGGCACTTGTCGTTGAGAAACAAATGTAACGCGAAAGTCTGAAGACATAAAAGAAATTTCCAGTACAAGCTAGAAACCACAATGCAAGGCAGCCTTTAGTTTCTCTGCAGATTCTTGAGTAGCGGAGAACCTACACACCGGAGGATAAGTGCAGTTAAACGGCTGAGTGACGAAGATATTACTAACTCAGAGATGGGAGAAATCCTTCATGCCGCCCTAATACACGAGAAGCATGTAAGCGCAGAACACTCCTTTGCGAGCGAGGAAAATAATGATTGGTTATTGGTATCGTCAGACTACTAGATAGTTTGATCAGCCTCACTTCATATTGTTCTCCAGATTTTTGCATCCACAAACAATAATGTCGACGATTTAAGCAACAGCTGTAATTCACTAGCGTAGAGAAAGAAAAGTAGGGGGCCCAAGACGCCTTGGGGTACACCAATTTTGACCGGTTTCCATTCAGATAGCGTTCCAATGACCCACACCTTCTGTCTGCGGTCACATAAGAATTTTCGTATCCATTCCTGTACAGCACCTGTTATTCCAAAGCTCAAAAGCTTTTTCATAAGGCCTAAGTGTGAAACACTATCAAACACTTTTCTAAAATTTATGAATATCACATCGACAGACAGACCGTTATCTGGGGTTACTGTCCAATTCTCTCTCGCAATAAGTGAGTTAGTCGAGCATGAACGCTTGTTACGAAACCCTTGTTGCTCGTGAGTTAGGAGATTGTGTGAATCTATGTGATTTAGTAGCTTAACCCAAAATATCTTTTCAAGTAACTTTACGACTATGTTAGTCGTACTGACAGACCAGTAGTTAGATACGATCTGCCTCTGACAATCCTTAAATATAGGACTGACTATAGAGTCTTTCCAATCTTTAGGGAGTTGAGCGAGTGAAAGGGACTTGTTGTAAAGTGTCGCAAATCATTTAAAGACAATGCGATTTAGGTTTCGAGCATATTGTGTATGCGGCAGGACTTAAATGGGTTTACATCTTATGGAACTACTTATTTCACTCACCGCACTACATTCCTGCCTCCACAGGGAACAAACAATTTGGTTGTCTACAACCAACCATTGCAATCAGACTAAGAAGGTTTAGAACACAATATGAACACAAGTGTCAGTCAAAGAGAAAGAAGGTACCACGAGACAAAGTTTATCAAGATTTCAAACATTAACCGAAAGTGGACCAACAATGCCGTTGATGCAACAAGTACACAAAAGCAAAGCTAATCAAAGCAAGTAAAAAATTACTGCCCTTTTTGAAACGCGCTTCAGGTATCCTGTTTCACTTGCAGTCCTACGGAAATTTGCTCCTAATGGTCACTTTATTGCATGATCCTGAGCTATTAGCCTGGACAGCACTTCAAATTGTAAAGTGGATGTACATGAGGTAAACTCAAGTGTTAAACTTACGCGAATACTAATCGGCGCAATCACTCTGGAATTTGCGCTAAATCTTTTGAAACATACTCACGGCCGTACCTTGAAGTGCACAACCCTTGCGCACCTCATCTCTTTGAAAGAGAAAAATCTTTCACATCAAGTATAGAGACGGGCAACAAAGTGGATAATAACGCTGATACAAATCTTATGATGAAAGTCTCCAGCACCTAGGATTATTGTCACTGAGCTTTATAAGAATGATGGGTGAACTAGTAACGGCATTCAGCATATTGAGTACGCCAAGCCCAACCGAAACGAGGATCTTTCCCAGATAGCAATCAGTTTATACAAGCTCGTGGCGAAGTATTGAATATCTGAAGGTCGATGAGACAGGCGCGCTGTAGGGATCCCGCGGCATGACTTCTAAAGTTAGTAGACTATCATCGCTTGTTATTAACTCGAATCCTGTATATCTGAAAAGCGAGAGGTAATATAAATAATTGAAATACATTTTTTCCAGTCGCATTGTTTACTCCTCTGACAAGTTTGTTGTTGTTCTTGATGCACGCACGGGAGTCTCTCAGTTCTTACACGGACATAGAGACTCAGTGGTTTGGATTGTCCCTGGAATTGACAAACCCCATCATGTATGTCTCTAAGTGTCTTGCTAATGTTTCAGGTGATTTCTGGCGGTCTAGATGGAAAGCTAATCGTTTGGGATACTAAGACATTTGAGAAGGTCCAGGTAAGTTTTTGATCCAATGTACAATATCGTAAAGATTTTGAATACCAGGTTCCCAATAGACTTCTGCTTTCCTACTGCAACTGGCTACATTTTTAGCCATACTTGCAAAAACAAACGTAGATGAGTAGTAATTATGTATATTCTTTTGTAGATGTCGTGAAGTCATATGACCGCTCTACAGGAAGTTATGTAGACTACGTAGAATTCCCTCAGAATGCTATTATGGCGTATAAAGTATAAGATTTACGTTCTTAATCAGTTGTAGGATTCTGATTTTGTAGCATGTATAGTCGACTCCATCCTTATCGTATACTGGATTAACTTAAATGTCTCAGTGAGGTAATTCTTTGACTGTTAATATTAAGGTACTTATTTCCTCATAGTATTCTTCTGTTTGAATTGACTTTCGCCGTTTAAAAATAAACGCATTAAGGTCTTGTTTTCTCCAAACAAACTGGTTTACATAAAACTAAGTTATCGTGAAGTTCATGCGACTGGATCTCTTCATAAATTTGAATGAATCAAAGAGAACATTACTATCAGAATGCGACAGATTCACTATATGTTACTCAAGAAAAAATAATAAGAGTCTATAGACTTGTCGTTTATATCATAAACTTGAATAGTAGATGCTACTATTGATAAAATTTAGTGGCAAAAATTTATTATCTTGAGCTGCCATTTACTAAATTTTATGTAACGCTTCATTTTGGGTACATTCACAAATTACATTTCTCTTTTTAAACAGTCGTAACTTAATCGAAAGTGTAATGTGATTCTACTTGCTGATGCACCAGATTTATTGGTTTCTTACTTATCTGTCCAGTGTATTCTATACATAAATACATAAAAGAATGAAATAAGTTGATCCTATCATCCTTAATTGGTCTTTATGATGACAAGCTTTTGCGTGCACTCTTGTGATTATCATGAACTGTCACTAATGAGCATAAAGCATAACTTAGTGGTTTGTTAACAATGGATACATTCATTTTTTTCACTGTTTGGAAACATTCGTTCAGTCCGTCTAACAGTACATCTTGTTAGTAGTCAAAGCAGCGTTAAACCTGCCATATATTTGCATCTGTTTCAGTTGCCATACCACAGCTTTACGATGTCGTTGAGCAAATGAATATATACATTTCTTCCCACCATTCGGTTACCTAATTAAGTCAGTACTAACACTCATGCTTACTGAACAGCTGAATTTATCTCTATTTTAGTATCATTGTTCGTGGGAGCCTTCTTCGTCTTGAAGTCATGGGATATCTTCCTTTTTACGAAGTAAAACTGTTCTTCATCTAGGCAACCTCTAGGTTTTTTGATCATATTGGCATGTTTTATATCTAACATCCTTACTAAGGTTTGTTTTTAGTGGATAGACTACATTCCGTCAGTTAATTTATTTCAGTTCAGTCTGATAGAAAGGTTGACTTGAGTTTTAAAATTCGATGTCTTTATGCTTGAGTCATTTGTTTTCTTTCGAGTAACGTTACTATGGCTTACATCAAATTGCAAATGCTTAATAAAGGTGAAGCCATACTATCTCAAACTTGACAACTAATACAGTATTATACAAATAGTTGGACATGTTTACCGAGTAGCAGTCATAACAGTTGGTCATACCTTTTGTGATGATTCGGTCGAACTTAATCACTTGTTTACTGAATTTCTAACATTTTAACTAAATGGAAGTATTCGTTCTCTTTAAGGACGTATTTATGTAAATATCGACGAGTCTAATTTAGCGACGACCTTTGAACGAATCTTCAATGACCTTGACAATTATTAGCCAGGCAAAAGACAGTAAGTATAAAGTGAAAATATAAGTAAGTAATGAATTACAGTGGATATTCTTCTTTTACATGATTTAAAAACTTGTTAAGGTTTGATAAATGTTCAGAGGTTCTGAATTCATAATGAATATAGTATAGAAACTCGTCCATAGGATTAGGGTTTAAGTTAGGGTTGGGGTTGTAGCCTCTCAATAAACACCTCTAAAATCCGATGTAAACCGATCGCATGTTAGTACCCTAACTTTAACCATAAACCCTAACCCTATGGACGAGTTTCTATACCATATGCATTATGAATTCAGAACTTCTGAGCCTTTAAATAACCTTAACAAGTTTTTAAATCATGTGAAAGAAGGATATCCACTGCAATTCATTACTTTCTTGTAATATATTTTTGCTTTATATTGTCTTCTGATTGGCTAGTAATTGAAATTGCTCAAACGCTTCTGATTGGCTCGTCCCTAAATTAGAGTCTCGCCGTCCCATCTATTGTAACCTCTTAGTAATCACCTCCTCTCTAAAATCCGCTGTGAACCGATCGTATGTTAGCATCGCGTGTTGAACGTGGCTCCGTGACCTTAAAACTGCTCAAACGCTTCTGATTGGCTCGTCGCTAAATTAGAGTCTCGCCTAAATTTCGCTTCAGTTTGGGCGCGCGGGCAATATTCCAGCCCTCACACAAATCGAATGACAAAGTGTGACACACATATCTGGTGCCTTCTTGTACCAATGTTAATGTAATCAAAGTAACTTTCACCCCCTTTCATAGGTATTCGGTTCCTAATAATGAAAAGCATTCAGAACAAAAGAATTACACATGCGTCGCAGCACATCCAAACGACTGCATCGTTGCTACAGGAAATGGTCTTGGTGAAATATTCATTTGGTGGAATTTATGTGCTCAAACTGATGATCATTTAAACATGCTAAACCCTGTTTCTGACGAATGGACTGGAAATGAAAATTGCGCAGAAAATGATGCTTTCGATGATGTCAAAAAAGCTATCAAAGAACATTTGGCGGAAGGTCGTTTATTCACTTATTACCCAGTTCATCCTTCTCATGTTAAAAGGTCCTTACTTCATTGGCATTCTGTACAAGTGACAAGTCTTTGCTTTACGTCATGCGGTTAGTTATAAATGCAATGTTTTTATGTCAGTCATATTACGTGTTAGGAAACTTGTTCGGTTATTTTGTAACTGAATGATATTTTTGTGATCTATAAAATCTTTAAAAACTGTTTAATGATGGCGATAACAACCAAACGATATTTCGCGAGCTATATGGTTCATAATTTCCCCTAGTTTCCTACATCACATGTATTGGTTTCGTTCTTGTACCCTTATATCGTCTTCTGTCTCACTCTCTAATACTTATTCATACTTTTCATCACGGAACATATTGTATGTATTATGCTTCCAAGGAATCGAATCGTGGGGTCAATTATTTTTATTAATAACATGTTCGGTAATTTTAGTATTTTGTTAGTTAACATGTATTATTTCAGAGAGCTACTTTTCATTCTCATCCATCCAATATAAGCACTTATTGGAGCCTGTTAAGAATTGAAAATGTGCTAACATTTATTTTGTCTTACCAAAAGTTGTCTCGTGCGTTAAAATGAGCGTACTACGAGTTTGAAGCATGCAGTAATCAAAAGTCTTCTCAATTTACAGGCACTCATCTTCTCTCTGGTGGTTTGGAAGGTGTGTTGGTCAAATGGGATGTAACTGACTGTTTTGGAGGTCCACAACAGCGTCGTTTTCTACCTCATTTTGGCTATCCAGTATCTTCTGTTCGAAGTCATGGTGGTTCATGTGAAGATATGATATCTGTCAATTTGGAGAATAATTGTAAGTATTTACTTACTATATATTTTAGAAAATAATTTTTATCATCGTTATCGGATGGGAAGTGATTTTGGTGACTTTTACTAATTTTACATACGGCATCCCCTGATTCTTCATAGCAGTCACTGTCATGGGGCAAAAATTACTGTGGGATACAACTAATCAATGCTTCATAAGTTACTCTGTAAGCTCTATTTTGGCATGCTTGTCAGTTGCAGATTAATTTGAATATCATGCTTCTAGAAATTCTATTCTGTTTTTATTTCGTTGAGCCGAATTTCGGTAATTTATGCACTTGAATCAGTTTTTGGTCATGCTCAAACGTTTGTATAAAAGCAGCGATACCGCTCAGTTACTCTAAACCAACGATAGTAGTTTTGATCGATATCGTAAAAAATCTCGCCATATGTATCCCGCTATATTTCATTTACTTTGCGTTTACTATTCCGTCTTTGGCTTGTCGTTTCAAGTTTTGACTAATGTACTCCTCGAGTGATAAGAATAACCGTAAGTTAAGTTCGAGATCATCCTAATTCCTATTTATGTACTGATAAACGCCCCAGCTAAGTTTCTATTATTGTATTTCAAGCACACATGCCTTTATATATATCAGTATTTCAGGCTGCATCACACCATAAATTTGAAGATCCTACTCTATACCTAAACAAGTAAAATATGGCAGCGAATAGGGCAAGCCGTCAATAACTGATTAGCAATAATTTAGGAATAAATTCATGTGTAACCACAGTTAAGAGATCCAACAAAAACTTAAAATAATGGGAATATAGGAAGCCTAGTTACTTAATAATTGTACGATATGAATATATATAACAATAATAGTAATAATAATCCAGAAAAAAGCAAGTCCACATCATTAAGAAAACTTTTGTTTCTTTTTTTCAATTTATTTAAACTCATCAGCATTTCATATTATGGATGGAGCTTTTACAATAATCTACTCAAAACAAGGTTTTATGCAATTACCTAAACACTGGTTTCCAATTCCTGTTACATTAACGATGCCCGGAAATTTAATGACTTTACAAAGTAAACTTCCACATAGAGATGATGAATTGTCTTCGACTTATCTCTTGACAAATGGTGGCTGTGGCAAAATACAACTAATGAATGTACATGACCGTGAACATTGTGTTCAAACGGTAATCAATTATTATTGTGTGGATGCAGTGTTGATTAAAAACTTTATGATAATTTATTTATTTGTTTAAACACATAACCCATGGTACAAGGAGGCGCCACACTTCGTCATTAGATTTATGTGAGGGTTGGAATCAGTCAGTCAGTCAGTAACAACGTAGAACTTAGTACGTACGTACATCAGTTCGAGTTGCCATACCACATTAGCACAGAGATGCAGTGGTCGATTCAAATCCCGTAGTGGTAGAGGTAGCAAGAGTATAAGCAGTAATCGGGAAGATTAGGGTTTGGAGATGTTATTTAACGAGTATAATCCAGTGAAATAAATTTGGAAAGAGGAAAAAAAAGGGCCATGAAGAATTCAGATAATTAGAATTTGGGAGAACATAGAGAGTGGATGCACCTGCGCCATTGCAAACGATTTTGAGCCATGTCATTCAGGGTCTCTAACCATCGGTTGCTATCATCTCGCGGTCCCCAACCAGGTAGTCTACACCTACCAACATGACTCAGTTCACTTGTCAGTGACTTCATGGATTTGTGCCATGTTTTGGTCTGGCCGCCCCTAGCTTTCTTCCAACCTACTCCTATACCACTGAATATAGCACGTCGAGGTAGTCGGTGGTTGGGCATACGTAACACGTGTCCCAGCCATCTCAACTGTTGAAGTTTCACTACTTCATCAATTGATTTGCCATCCTTACCTAGTACCCGTTTCCGAGGGTTGGAATGCTGTCCGGACGCCCAAACCGAAGCAGGTTATGGTAATATATTCAGATTGATTCCAGTGGAGTTCATCTGTATCGGGTGTGAGGGAGGTACACACTGACCATAATAGAAGATGCTCGCGCAATATCGCGGATCAATTGAATTTAGACATTAACACGGACGAGTCCTTACTAAGTGGCATGCGAAATCGATGGTCCTGGCTTTGATCCCCGGTGATCAGTTTGTCGGTGCCCACTGATAAAGAGTTTCAAATGAGGATGAAACAGCTATCCAGTCTTTCCAGATCACTCCGTGATTTCTATGAGATTCAACAATCCTCACATCCCCATACAAATAATTCCAATAAGGCGGATAATATTTTGCAGAAAGGGTTTATTATTTTACCCAATAAACCTTTGTTTAGTCGTGGATTAGTGATAAGTACGTTCAGCTTTCAGTTTCTAAGTTCCAAGCATTGAACACGTCCCACTTCGGTTTAAGTAACCAGTTAGTATTGGTTCTATAAATTTTGGATTGTTACAATAAATTCAATTTTATCCAAAGTTCAACATTGTTGTGCCGTGATGTGGTATGATGTAGCGAATTTTCCCATAGTATTTCAATAAACGCCAACTAACCTTCAACTGCTGATCGAATTATAACGATAATTTTTATTCATCAATTGTCACTCATGTTGTAAATAACTTCAACGTCTATCAACATCTTCATATGACTGCTCTAACTGTGACAGTTCAACAGTATTTCGGTCCACCATACAACAGCTTCCTTATCTCTAAAGCTCCCACTCCTGCAAAATATAAATCTCACAACGAAGATTTATTCATGATACAGTCAAATAAATTGGAATTATTTCCGAGTTTACTCGGTCTTGTATCGACTAAATTGAGTGATTATTCGTTTTAAAAATTATAAATTAGAGTAATCATCATTTGAACACCGAAACTACAAAGAGTCGATTAAAATCGACAATGTACATTGTGAGTGCATTTCCATTCTACTCCTGTATTCAACTATCAATTAGATTTGGGTAAAAGGAAACGACTATTTAAATGAGATAATAGGTTGAACATTGACAAATTTTATTTACAAACAATTGAGAATTTTCTAATATGAACGAGAACACATATGAAGAACATAGAAGAACCCTTCCATAGTGTGGGCAACCGGAAGTGAAGACCTTCCTCATACCTCCAACAGCACTCAAGACCACTGTATTCATAATCAATTTCCCTGTTCAATTCCTATTATTCCCCGTACTTCGAATTCCAACTGTAAAGTCCCTCTTTTGACTTCCTGAAGTGTCACCATGGCCAACGATTGTTGTGCTCGAAACACTCTCAAGTCTATAAAAACCTCGCTCCAAAATACACATTAGAGCCTTCAGCGTACTCATCCTATATCAAATCGGTCAGCAGGCCTCTTTGGCTGAAACCCTAAAATCTCGTACCATTGATGTACGCTGTAACTCCAAAACACGAATAAAGGACCCTAGTGTGGTCATTCACTTGACATCACTTAGGCAAAACGAAGATCCGACGAGATACACTGTCCGTGTATCTGGCGGCCCGATGGTTGGTTCTTGTGAACCGACGTGTGTATATATAGCATTGAGTACGAGGGCAGAACAAACACTATTATAGTGGGTCCCCGTTAACAGTCGTCTATGTGCTGTTCGGCTAAGCGGCTCCGTAAGAACTCGGAAGGATAGGGACACACTTCGTTGCCTTTTCGTCGTTTCTGTCTACGCTCCCATTGACTGCAGCCCGAATAAAACGAAAGATGACTTTTGCAGAAAGCTTTTGGAACTTCTTCAAAAACCTAAACGCTCAGACATAGTACTCGTAGCAGGTTACTTTAATTCCCAAGTAGGTAGCTTAAACCAAACAGCAAGTCATTTAGGTGGGTAATTTATTATCCCTGCTCAGCGAACAGATAATGGTGATCGTCTGTTGCAACTGTGCTCCGTCAGTCGTTTGCTTTTAGCGAGCATTAATTTTAAGCATAAGGAGAGACATCATCTAACATGGCGACCCCCTACACCAAACCAACGATGGACTCAAATAGATCATATTGCCATCAGTCATCGTTGAAAAGGGTCGATAGAAGACTTTCTCTCGTTCTGGAATGCTTGCTTGGACTCCAACAATGCCCTAATATAAGCACGCATCTGCTTGCGCCTCATGACTCAGAAAGGCCACACAAAAAGACCCATTACAATTGAATTGAGTGACGAGAAGGCCGAAAGTAGATTCCAGGAACAACTGAGGTCACACTTAGTTCTAAAAACGAGATGTTGCTTGGAAGGATATACGAACAGTTGTGGAAATAGCAGCGACATTTATTAATTACTTGAACTAAATTGTTAACCAAAAGTCTACGGAATGATCGTGAAAAGTGGTGAGCAACGAACACATAAGAGATGGAGAAGGTAGTTTCTGTAGGTAACACCAGACAGCTTTTCAAACTAATAAAAGAAACTGGAATTAAGAAGTCAAGTGTAAGTGAGACAGTTTCAGAGAAAGTGACATTTCCTCTTTTTTTCTCACTATAGATTGATATTACTCACCAAAATCTTGTTGTCAGAAGTACGGATTCAAAACATCCAATTATACATGCTGAAGTATTACTAATGGCCCAGTTGTGCACTGATGTTTCATTTACATGGTTTGTGACTTATGAATGTGTAAAAAAGTTAGCTGATCATGAACAAGGATTACCAATTGATGATCAGTCACGTTTAACTTGGTGGCAGTGCCATGAATCAGAAAAAGAGAATGAGAATAAAGATCTGTCTTCATCATCAGTCGATGGAATACATGATTTTGTTAAGTAAGGAAACGTTTCGTTTTTATTAGTGAATACATTTCGTAATTTATATCTTAGATCGTTTCACTTATCATGATAATCTATGCATTTTTGTTCATTCGCTAAGCTTGCTCTCTTTGCTAATTCAAAAAATGACTTCTTAGACATCTAACTTTTACTATCGTAAAATCATCCTCGAAAGTCAGGGATTAGTATCGTTTTCGCCTGCATGAAAACAACCAGTTTTGAATTAATTCATTAGAATAGATTAAATATGTTTTGTCGAATAATTTTGAAATAAAATATCACTTAGCAATTATCGTTTGTATTACATATCGGACAATGTAATTTGATATTTTGATGTGGTAATACTAAGGACAACTTAGGTTATCTAGTTATCTCTTCAAAGGATAACACCTCTAATATCTATTTCTGAAATAATACTTGGCGTTACATTATTGATTGTTATCGCTTCTAGTTCACTACATGTATTATGTATGGATTTCTAGGTCATTACATGTTTCTATATAAACAGAGTTGTACCTTTCCAACGTTTGATTCTTGTACAGAATATAAAAATCTTCTGAAAGTCCCGTGTTCTCTAACTCTTATCATCACCATGTGGATTAGTAACGCTGAAGTGTTGTTATGTATCAGTTTATTTATTTGCTTAAACACATAAATATTGGTACAAAGAGGCACCGAATACATATACACCGCACAAGTCATTTGATTTGTGTGAGGGCTGTGATACTGCTCTGGTGCTCAGACCGAAGTAGGTGGTTTACTTAGGGTGCCACATCCGGAGCCTTCAACCTAAAGGTTTGATCCACACGGCAGTGGAGCATCGTAAGGAGATGCAGTCCCACGGTAGCCGGTCACCAATGATCGGTTCATACGCCAATTGTTCCTTCAGGATACTGGAGCCCATGTGCACCATTGGTTTTGAACCAGGGTTTTCAATTCCCGCAGGTGGACTCGCCGTTGTCCACCAACCCGGTCAAAGCGCCGGACATTCGCTTTTCGTCCTATCAATATCGTAAACACCCCCACCACGAGAAAGCAGTGATTGTATGCACGTGCCCGTATGAGAGCATTTCGAGAGGGAGAGCGGACTCTCCCTACTGTCGGCTGTACCAGGGCCTTTGGGGGCAGACGTCCGATTCTTTCGAGTTCATGTGTTCTCGTTCATATTAGAAAATTCTCAATTGTTTGTAAATAGAATTTGTCAATATTCAACCTATTATCCCATTTAAATAGTCGTTTCATTTTACCCAAATCTAATTGATAGTTGAATACAGGAGTAGAATGGAAATGTACTCACAATGTACATTGTCGATTTTAATCGACTCTTTGTAGTTTCGGTGTTTAAATGATGATTACTCTAATTTATAATTTCTACAACGAATAATCACTCAATTTGGTCGATACAAGACCGAGTAAACTTGAGAGTAATTCCAATTTATTTGACTGTATCATGAATAAATCTTCGTTGTGAGATTTATATTTTGCAGGAGTGGGAGCTTTAGAGATAAGGAAGCTGTTGTATGGTGGACCGAAATACTGTTAAACTGTCACAGTTAGAGCAGTCATATGAAGATGTTGACAGACGTTGAAGTTATTATTTTACAACATGAGTGACAATAGATGGATAAAAATTATTATTAGAAATCCAATCTGGAGCATTTCGTGTTGATATTCTTACTACGTAATCATAGTTATCAAGACCTAACAGATATAAAATAAACACTTTAGTGAATGAAAATTCTAGTTTCAGTAATATATCATAAGTTCATCAGACCATTTTTCTCAAATGTTCTTCAAATACCCTGGTTCGACCAAGCTTGGGGAGAGTCCACTCTCCCTCTCGAAATGCTTTAACATGGCCACGTGTATATAGTTTCTGTCAGGGAAGTCCCACTCACGGCCTTCTCGTGGCGGGGGTGTTGTTTACGAAATTGAAAGGATGAAAAGCGAACGTCCAAAGCTTTAACCGGGTCGGTGGACATGGAGAGTCCACCTAGGGGAGATGGGAAACTCTGATTCCAAACCAATGGTAAACATGGGCTCCAGTATCCTGAGGGAAAAATGACGTATGAACGAGTCGTTGGTGACCGGCTATCATGGGACTGCATTTCCTTACGATGCTCCACTGCCTTGTGGATCAAACATTTAGGTTGAAGGCCCCGGGCATGGACCCCTAAGAAAACCACCTGCCTCGGTTGGGCTCTCGGGCAGTATCTCAGTCCTCACACAAATCAAATGAGATTTGTGTGGCGCATATCTATTTGGTATCTCCTTGTACCAATGTGTTCAATTAAATAAATAAACACTTAGAAATCATCATTTGAATAATACAACATTAAGATATTTAAGAGTGTGATGCTGTTTATTCATTTATGATAATGTATCATTCATCTATTAGTGTAAGTAATAAATATTCCAGTTGTTGAGATCATAAATCAATTGAAGCTAGTCTAGTATGGAAAAGCTGGAAGCACTGGTCTAGCTTCAATTGACTCATGATCTAAACAATTGAAATTACTAAAATCTCCACAAAATCCCCTTTCAATAAATATTCAACTGTTATGTAAATATTTATCATTTGATTAGTATCATTGAAATGCGAAGTAATATGTTTCAGTAGTTTAGTAGAATAGAGTATGTAATTTGGTTCGATGTAGTCTTGAAATTAAATTTTTACTACTTTATGTCACTTGTTGGCAAGTTATATCTACGTTAATGAGACAGCTTTAGAGTTGGTATTCACTTTAATTAGCTTTACAATTTGGAATGTTACCACCAATGAACCATTTAGGTCGCTATTGGACCACCATCTGTCGGACTATTATATTTAAAATAGCCTGCTTTTAAGGCAGGTTGTGTGTTAAAGTGCTTTGTATAATCTAATGCATAGTCAAGAGTGTTTAGTGGAGCTAGATAATATTCCCACCCTCTAACTCAACCCTAAGTTTCTCAAGTTTGTAAACTAAAGAGTGACAAAACATTGTTGGTTGGTTGGTGATGAAAACACTAATCCTAATTTGTAAATCCAATTAAAAATTCTGAATTAACACGTTTTGCAGTTACAACTGATATCTGTTGATGACGGAAGCTGTGGGGTAATAACCCTAGCTCATAACACTGACCCATCTCGTAATATGTAATATTGATCTTTTTTCTTTACTACAGGGGATAATTTGACATGTGAACGTTAATTATTCACACCAAAGCTATTATTCCATTAATTTGTACTGTCAGTCCTAATATAAAACTAATAAGCGTTTCCTGACTGTAATGATTGGTTACCCTAAGGTAGTCAGTATAGTGTATATTGACTTCTGACTCTATAGAAGCAAGTAAACCGAATATAATACACCTAAAATTGGTCTGATCTGGAATGTTATTCATTAAGTTTTTGTTGGAAATTAGTCTTATTCGTCTTTCATGTTTTAATTTATCAATGAGTGTATCCCATTTTCTCCTTTAAACAAATCGTCATTATCAATAATTATGAACCGAATATTATTTAGGTTACTAATGAGTAACTAAGTGATTGTGTAACATTGATGTTTGAGGGAGCTTTTTTTCAAATAATATCAGTATTTTCTTTAGCAAATCTTCATTGAAGATTATTTATCTTTGAAATTATGTTTAATATTTTCGTGTGGGAATTTTCTTCAATCTTATTTAGATTCACTTCAGTGGATACTTATTCCATGTCACATTTTGGTTGTCCTGCTGTTAATATGGAGTTTGTTCCATCTGAGAAAAATCAATTATATGTTCTATTAATGGATTATCGACTGATGATATGGAATTATAATATTGAATACAGTAAGATTTATTGTTTTATTCATTTGTTTTAATTCACTCAGTCAGTAACAACGTAGAACTTCGTACGTACGTACATCAGTTCAAGTTTCCATACCACATTAGCACAGAGATGCAGTTGTTGATTCGAATCCCGTAGTGGTAGACGTAGTAAGAGTATAAGCAGTAATCGGAAAGATTAGGGTTCGACGATGTTATTTAAAGAGTATAATCCAGTGAAACAAATTTAGAAAGAGAAATAAAGAAGAATTCATAAGATTAGAATTTGGGAGAACAGAAAGAGTGTATGCACCTGCGCCATTGCAAATGATTTTGAGCCATGTCATTCAGGGTCTCTAACCATCGGTTGCTATCATCTTGCGGTCCCCAACCAAGTCGTCTACACCTACCGACATGATTCAATCTACTTATCAGTGACTTCATGGATTTGTGCCATGTTCTGGTCTTATCACCCCTAACTTTCTTCCAACCTACTTCTATAACATAAAACATCGCATGTCGGGGCAGTCGGTGGTTGGGCATACATAACACATATCCCAGCCATCTCAACTGATGAAGTATCACTACTTCATCAATTGATTTTCCATCCTTACCTAGTGCCCGTTTCCTAACAATTGCATTACTTACTCGATGGTCCCAGGATATACGAGCAATGTTTCGAAGACACCCATGATCGAATACTAGTAACCTACGAATATTCCTTACTCTTATCGGCCATGTTTCACTGCCATAAAGTAGGACGGAACGAACTGCTCCTCAGTAAACACGCCCTTTGGTTGATAGACGGATATCTTGCCTACGCCACAATGGCGTAGGTGTATACACTCGGTTTCTTCCCTTAAACTAAGAGATTAAAAGCGCTTCATATCTTTCTTTCTACTAACCAATTCTTTCTTCTTGTACTATATCTCTATATGCAATCTTTCTCTTATATATTACCACCTTTTACCTAACCACTGTTATGAATCCGGTGTTCATCTAGTTGTGCTGATGCGGTATGGCAACCTGGACCGATGCACATAAGTGCATGGTTCTACGTTGTAGCTGACTGACTGACTGACTGACGCCATAAAGGACGCAAGTTGGCAAAAGCTAGTCGAGCCTTCTGTATCCGTGCTGAGATTTCGTCAGACACCAGACCACAAGGGCTGATGAGACTCCTAAGATAAGCGAAGCGATCAACACGGTCAAATACTACTTGTTTTAATTATTTAACTCTCAACCTGTTTAGATGAAACAAATATGCTGGAAAATAGCACATAATATTCTATTTAATAATATATTCACACAACGAGATGAGATTACCATGGAAAATTTTAGAGTAGTTAGGGTGTTTTTAGTAGTAGAAAAGATTAGATATGAACGATACTATTCAATAAGAAAGTATGAACTTATAAAATAAAGAAACATAGGATTATTAAGAAACTTCGGAAACATAAAACAGTGGATACACCTCAACCAAGTCTGAGTCTTGTTTTCCAACCATAATAATTACAAGAATGTAAACCGGGTAACTTGTACCTAACAACATGACTCAGTTCAATGGTTAATCATTTTATGGACTGATTCCATATCTTGATTTGTCTACAGGTTTCAGCTATTCACTTTCAGATTAGGGACAACAAGACTGTAAACTACACTTTTTTAGATCAATTGCGTTTCACTCGAGTTGATATTTCAAGAAGCCGAAACATTAACGTTTTTTACCTTTACAGCGAAAGATCCCATATACTCGCCATGGATTCCAGCTTCATGTCATCTTTTATCGTATTGTAATCAAAACCCTTCGATCCCACCACCTGGCTCTCTAATTATTCCCTTCAATGTACAATCTAATGTAAATCAATTCAGTACATCGACAAGTTTTTTAGTGTATTCTGGTCTTAATCTGACTCTTTTGAACTGGAATCAAATTTTACTCGAAAGTAAGTTCAGATTACCCTATTGTGGTATAATCATTATTAACTCATTTGTCAAGTACATATTGATGTATTCACCTTTGATTAAGCGATACTACTACCCGTTTACCAAAATCGAAGTGGGTGTAGTGGGTTTCGAACCTGTGACTTAGTGTCACTAAATAAGCGGCCATCTGTTTTGGTACTCAGTCATTTATAAACGTTTTTTTTCTCTCTCTCTCTACGAAGTGCAATCCGTTCAAGGCCTGTGTTGATTTCGTTATCAATCTCCTCAATATGTAATTAAGTTTGACATCCTCCATTTTATGCAGACGTGTTTACCTTGCTATTATTGTAACTCATATCGCCTGTTTAATATTTCCAATCACCAATGTTTTTTGAAAGTGATTTGATCGTATACCACAACGGAATACAAAACGGTGAGAAACAGTCAGTCGGACTATGTTTGTGTCAACGAGAGTATGTCTTCACTTCTCCGTTTATTTTGCACTCTTCTTACTAAACATTATAGTTGATAAGTATACTAATCTAACCGATTGCAGCTCCTTAGACAGTGGATAGTGGCAGTTGTTTGTTCCAAAAGACACATTTATTGCAATCATGTATGTATCATTCAGTCAATCATGATCAATGTAGATCCTGATACACATGTTCAATAACACAAGTTGCCATACCACAGTGGTATGACGCAACTAAATTAACAGATGGATAGAAAAGGAATCGAAACAATGTAGTGATGATGGTAATTGTCAAGATTGAACACTGATGATATACTAAAGAAGACAGGAAAGCTGTATGTGTGTATGAATACTACAACCGGAGATGTAGAGGAGGATAAAGAGTGGATAGATCCACATCATTGTGACTGATTCTGATCAATTTCGCTCAGCGTTCCCAATTATCGTTTGTGATTATTACTCGAACTTCAATGGCTAATGATTTCATAGACTAACGGGACGTTTTGATTTGATCTTCATGCCTAACATTCAATTAATCTACCACAATTATTGGATGTATTGCACAACATTTCCAAGTTTGGGTGGGTGGTTAGCTAGCTATCCATTAATCTAACATTCCTTCAATAATTCATCACATCTGTCTGTTTAGTTTAGATTGATTGATGTTCTGTTCAAATCATTCTCGTTTTCAGGCAATCCAAAAGTTGCTGCCAGCATTTGTCTACGAGATAATCTATTGAGTCTGTGGCCAGATTCAAAGAAGAATAATATTGATAAATGTGTTATTGTCTCTTATACGGATAATGACGATGATAATGTTACACGTTACCTGGCTATCACGGTTCGTGGTCACGCTCCTAGATCAGCGAGTGAGCGTACTTCACTTGGAGCTTTGTGCCTGTTACAATGTACATCTTCCAGTGTTGAAATGATGTCAGTTGTTCCAGATGTACTAGCGACGTGTTTAACTTCACATCCGAGTAAACCTTGGTTAGCTGTGGGATTGAAGGATGGGACAGGTTGGTTTGTGTTATAAATAAAAACGATTTAATTTTAATTTCGTAATGCTGTTTTATGCAGTAAAGTACTTCCTGAAATCATCCGTTCGTAGTTTTGAGGTTTAACTTTAGAACAGTCACCACAACGTCGATTAAAATGTGTTTTTAGTAGTTGTTGGTTGAACTGGTCTGTCGTAATGGCTGAGTTTATGCACATTGGTACGAACACTCGTTCCTCCATGTCTTATCGTATTGACCATGTCCGTTGAATAGTGACGAAACGAAAATAGGAGAATCGTGATTCGAGGGTATAGTGGTTCTGCTGACTGCATAAGAGTGTAGTGCTAGTAAGTTGTTTTCCTCAGACAATCAACTTGTGTTATGATGCTGGTTCTCATTACAGAAGGATGGGTTTAGAGAAGGTGAGAACTGGAAATAGTACACTTCATCTCATCCCACAGATTTCTGTAACTGGTTGTAGTTTTGAAGTAGGAAGCTAATTTATCTAACACTGTTTACAAAATGACAGTTTGTAACTGGTCTCAAGCAGTCGTTCCTTGAGCAGTATAGCCGCATTCTGAGGTTATTTAGACTTCAATATAGCTCAGAAATATAAATTAGAAATGGGTTAAATGAAAACACACTGCAATTCTACATCTTGAACAAGATAAAGAGTGGACGAATATGTGTAATTGTGATCGATTCTGAAGGATGTCACACGAGGTCACTAGCCACTGATTTCAGTTATACTGAAACGTCGACTTTTTGAATCACTTAACTTGTAATAGCTTCTCACCAGAGACTTGTATTAGTTGGACGAGCTATCTAACTTGTGTTATAAGTAGTTCACCAGTATGAACTGATGCTCAAGAATAAACCGAATGATAAGAGTTATGTTTATGTTCACCAACATATATGGTTTATCCAAATTTCAGATTAGTGTTGTATGGTGAAGTTGTTATCGCTGTTGTGAATTAAGACTTCTTTGTATTGCTCCCACTATTAGTTTACGTAATTATGGAATCCGTTGATCACCGTTTTAACTTATAAATGCTGTATGCTGACTTTATAGGATTGTATATTGAGAACATTTGGAGAGAAGATTATAAATAACGAATATGGAGAAAGGCTACTACTGTTTAGAAGTAGACAAATTGTTGTTATGACTAAAGTTCGAGACCTGGTTTTCGTCATGTATATGACTTGACATTAGAATTTATTTGCATTTCAGTGCTGATCTTTTCATTGAAACTAGAAGTCATTAACTCAGCAGATAAAGTGTCGAGCATTTAGAAGGCGAATGGTACTGACTTCAGGTTCCGATATGAAAAATGCACACCGAGAGAGATTTGTCCAGTTGACGATTCACGAATAGAATCAAACTTATATTCTACACTTCACTGCTAGTGATAATTCACCTTTTTTTAGAGTGAAACTTGTGACAGAATAGCTAATATCAAGGCAATCCATTCAGGATTCACATTTAGAATAAAACATAGTTCCATCAACTTTCAATAGTTGAGGATCAAGAATTGAATAACTCAACTCCTTATTAATAATAATATAGATCTTTTTTTTTTAATGTCGCTTGTTCTAGTTTCATCGATTGTTTTTAGGATCACTTTCAATGAATTAACTTCTTCTTTTCTTCATTCTAGTTACCATTTATGAAGTTCAATTGAATTCAAATATAAAATTGAATATCATACAAACATTGGGAAATCTTGTTTCTCAACCATTATGTGATCGAATACATAAAAGTGGAGTAAAGAATAAACATAAACAATCAAATGGAACAATGTTTGTTTCACTTTGTTTTATTCCATTGAATAATGATATAATGATAAAATCAATTAATGATAATCATAATCATGTTCAATTGATTGGATTAATGAAAACATTAATTGGAAGAGAGACAGGACGATATGATTTAGTTTATTATGGAACACGTAAACAAATACAGAAAAGCCTAGTAAGTCTATTTGTAATGTGATGGTTAAGTTTTCTTTTATCTAAGCAGGTAATTCGTTATTCATCCTTGCTATAGCTGTGAGACGGCAGCAGATTAGAAGGCAGAGCGAATTATCGATCGGACCAAAACGCGCAAACACTTAGAACGGCCTAGGGTTCTGATTGGTCCCGTTTCTCTGTCTAGCCCAGCCAGTTGAGTCCAGAACACAAGTATCAGCCTCGGAGATATGAATCATTATATTTCAAACACACTCTGTTTATATACTAATCAAGCAGACCACATCGTACCATAAAATAGAAAGTAACATTGTACAATATTGACCAGTAGGAAAATGACACTTGAAATAAGTACTGACCAGTAAGAAAATAATACCATCTCCAAATCCAAGAATAGCATTAGACTTTATAGAATAATTCCTGGGATATTTTCCTGAATATCCCAACAATCCTAATAAAGATTTGTATAACTTGTAGTTTTAACAAAATGTTTATCTATGATTTGAAGAACGATTATGATGCATAGCAGTCGTTTCTGTATTACGTGATGGGTGTGAAACTTGATCTGTAAAAGTAGTAGTAACAGATTCTGCAACAATAGACCTCTACATACACGAGGGGGAAAGCAAAGTCCTGAACGCCAACCTAATCACACTTGATGGAGAAGCTATGGAAGATGCGGGAACTTCCACGTGCCTGGTCAGTATCATCGATAAACAAGGAGGATCTGATACAGATGTAAAGGTAAGGATTGGCAAAGCAAAGACCACATTCCTACAGTTGAAGAACATATGGAACTCAAAACAACTGTCTGCCAACCAATATTAAAGTTAGAATCTTCAATACGAACATCAACACAGTTCTACTACACTGAGCTGAGACTTGGAGAATTACCACAGCCATCATCAAAAAAGTATTTATTTATGGACAATTGTCTATGTAAGATACTCAAAGTCCGTTGACCGGATACCATTAGCAACAGACTATTGTAAGAGAGAGAACAAACCAGCTTCCGCTTTCAAGAGGAAATTAAAGAAAGGTGTTGGAAGTGAATAGGACACACATTGAGGAAGCCATCAAACTTTATCACGAGGCAAGGGAAAGGTAAAGAGGAAGACCAGGAAACATGCTGCCGGGAAACGAAAGTAGACATCAAAAGAATAATTGCCAATTGTAAAGGATTGGCTAGAACAGATTTGGATGGAAAATGTTAGTGGGCGGCCTTTGCTCCTCTATCAGAGGTGACAGGCGTAAGTGGTTAAGTAACAAGGTAAAATGAACAACTTGTTTAATGAGGTTGTAAATCTTCATTAATTGAAGTGATTAAGGCATGTGTTGCGAATGCTTCACTATTGCCTACATCAACGTCCGGTGTTAATTGCTGTCAGAGTAGGCTAGAAAAAAGATGGAGCAGCCAAACTTAAATGTCCCATTAGTCAAGAACTGTTGATCTCAGTCTTGTCGGTAAATGCAAACTACCTGGTTACGGTCTTCTTAATTTCTGCGATTGTTGTTTGGAATGGTTGTGTAACATTGCAGATTCAGCATCTAGTTCTAATCTTTCTGTAGATGTCAAGTTCCACTCTTCCTTTATACATACCTTCTCGTGAGAACAAAGAGTATAAGAGCGAATCATAGTTTATGATAATTTCTTCTGCAAACTCTACAGTTATAAATCCAAAATTATTACAAAACAGTATTAAATTTAACTTGATACATGTTATAAGTTGAAAATGGTAAATCTCACGTTTATTGGGATTGGTATGGGTTTATGGTAATCACTAACTGCGTAATTCGGATTATTCCATTACGAACATAAGCGAATAGGAACCTGAATAGAATAGACATCTTTCACATACAACAATACTTCAGTGTGAATAATCTACATCCTCGTAAGAGGTAGAGAATACAAGATGTTCAGGATAGCTTAATATTCGAAGCAGAGGTCGAAAAACTAAATAGAAATACTCTATTTATGCAATTACACCCGGTGACCTTGTAACACACAACGTTAGCAAACCAAAGGTGTTGACAATCAATCAGGTAGCAGCATATTTTATTGCGTTAATATAATTTGGGAAAGTGTCGTTAAGAAGGTTGTCCCTTGTAGAAAGAACTAACATGCACACCTTGCCTTATCCCATGGATATCCGTCTCCGGCGTTAAGGTCTCAACAGCTACAGAGCTAACAGGAAAATTACTCCTAAAAAGGTCGTGTGTGTCTGACCTCAAGCAGTTTTCTGTTCAGCACTCCGGTCACGCTCTCAGGTCATTAAGACCACCTCTAGTCCAATCTCCTTTTCAGGTACCTCCAGAAGAACCCTTCCACGATGTAGGCAATCGGGATGTGATAACCGCTCTCATACTTCTAACAGCACTATGAATGATCCACATCGTATCAATGAGTGTATATTGACTATTATATATATTTCCTATTTTCCTTTATTAAACATCGTTTCTCATTCAACCTATACTTTTACAGAAGGAGACTACCGGGTTAAATATACCACCGAAACAACGAAGCTTACTACAATTGGTTGATACAGCAGCTCCTGTGAAATTCGATAATCATATACGAGCAAATAAACGAAAATTAAATTCTGATATTCAATTGGAAAATACTTTAAAACAAATAAGTGAATATCCTATTTATACAGCTCCACCACCTGATCAACTATTACACCAACTTATGCGAAAACACTGAATTATCATTTTATATGTAAATAATTTGTTTACTACAAAAATAAAACGATGTAAATATATGTGTACAGTTGTTCTTATATTCCGGTAAATCAAGTTTCACTATTTCACTGGCCAATCTGATTAAACCATTGGTAGTGACGTCTCAGACTGTGGAACTGAGGGACTCGAGTTTGAATTCCACCATGGAGTATCAGTTCACTCAAGAATACAGACGAGGGCCAATTAACATGAGACCTAAAACATGTCAGGGTTTATTGTTGATTATTCTCAACTATCTAACATCTTAAGATGGTACATTTGATGTTGATTCATTTCGACTAATGGTCACATTGTTAATTGCTCAACAGAACTCAGTCAACATATAACAAAAGACTAGACAATCATGATAGTTATCGGTACTGATATTTTAGCACTGAAGGAAAATGATGAAAGTCTGTCGTTATCATTTATGATTCCCCAGAACAATAGTTTTCTTACATTCAAACCACTCGATATACAGAAGTGAATGACAAGGTCTTGGTTAATATAGCTGAGAACCTAAGCCATCGGTCAAGGTATCAAATAATTGCCTTCACTATACTTCATTATAATCTTGTACTGTTTATTATTCCTTGTATATTTTAATACACTCGACGATTCATAAATCAGAGCAAGCTATGAAAGCGAACAAATATTCCAGTAGTATCCTCTTTATACTCACGATAACGCTGACAAGTTAAAAATGGAACAAACAACGTGCTCCCGTCTGATCCTAACTTAAGTATTCAATAGTCAGGACTTTGTCACGCTAATAACAGATTTCACTAACACTTAATGACTGATGATAATCCATAAATTAAGAAATATATACTATATTGGTCAGTTAGGTAGTGAAACACAAGAGCGAACCTGAAACATGTGCTGACGTTGGTCCCAATTCTAATACCCTATTAGCACAGGGAGATGAATATTGTCACAGCAAATACCATAATAGAAATAGTAACAGGATTAATGGTATTTGGAACGATTAAGCATCCAAAGTAAGATCCAAGAAAATGTATATTAGTAAAATAAGAAATTGTAAGGAATTTTGAAGCCTTAGGATCTAAAGTTATATGTAGTGAATACACTTGCACTATTGAAAACAATCTTAAACCACGTCATTTAGTCTTTAACCATTAGTTACGACAATCACAACCCTAATCCGGTAATGTGTACCTACCTACATACTGGGTCTTAAAGTCAATGAACTGGTGCCATGTCTTAACTTTGCCCACCATGGCTTTTTTAAAAATCTACTACACCGACCGTCGTCGCTGTTACGTCCTTGATTTGTCTACCCACACTTGGTACTGAGAATAACCTGTCTAATCTAGATTAAGACCTGGACGAGATAGACTGACCGGCTTATCCTTGAGGCTAGTACGCGTGAGTTCGAAGTGGGGTAGAGGGAAGAGAACTGTTCTACCACCTGATTGGCTGACAAGCACACGAGTGAGAGAAGACAAGACAACTGGAACACTGCTCGACTTATTCCCGACTTCAGATTGATGTAAAAGAGTACATGAATAAATAGATAACTAACCTGACTACAACGTATAATAATTAGGAAAATACAATTATGTCAAAATTTGGGAAGTAGAGTACAAAATAATACGTTTAAATTACGAAAGCTAATGATCTGTAGAATAGATTAGGGGCAAAAATAAATGTTACTGTTTTACAAGCTCTGAATTAAATGAAATGACGTCCCGAAAAATTGCTCTCGTAGTATGTCAAGTCTTCTTCTTTCTCTGTACACATCAGTCGCCTGTTGAGGTGGTCGGTAAATGGGTACACCTAGTACATATATATTAACCATTGCAGTCAATTAATATTCACTACCTCGTCAATTGATTTGCCATACTTACCTAGTACTTAACGACTAACCTCAGAATTATTAAACTAAGGGTACCAAAAATATACAAGCAATACTTCAAAAACACTTATGGTTGAACATTATTAATTTATAAATTATCTGTAAAATTGCTGTGGTTTATAGTTTGGGTCTTATACAATCCAAAGGAAAGTCCTCAATGAACTTGATTTGTCACGATTTAATTCCACATCAAATGTATACTCCCTTTCTAATAATTTACAATGTATATTTTGTCAACCCAGCTGTATTTCATGTCCTGTAAATAAATCAACTTTTATTCACAGTTAGTAAATGAAGTTTAATGATGCCCATTATAATTGTTTTCACAGTTCAAGTTGACATTGATGTTTCCGTTGTCAGATAGACAACTTTTGATGCTAATTTTTACACACAGAAGTGTCTGTAACTTCAGTTAGTTTAGGGCTCTCTACACCATCAATATCAGAACATATGTTTTGTCTATAAGTACTGTCAGGCTTGAAAGAGCCCTTAAATGCCCTAGTACGACTGAGGGTAAAAAGAGCCTTCTCTCTCTCACCAAATCAGTCAGTCAGTCAGCTACAACGTAGGACCAGGCACATTTATGCATCGGTCCAAGTTGCCATACCTCATTACCACAACAAGATGGACACCGGATTCACAAAAGTAGTTAATTCAATGGTTGTAATATATAAAAGAAACGAAAGCGTTGAACTCTGTTATTGCTCAAAAAAGACGTAAAAGACCTCTCGTTTTTATTATGTCATAGGTGACGTAAGTTGGCAAAAGCCAAAGCAGCTTTTCGAATCCGTGCTGAGATTTCGTCAGACACCAACCCGTTAGGGTTGATCAGACCTCCAAGATAAGTAAAGTTGTCGACACGTTCGACCTCACTAAATGCTTTCACATAACCACACCTATGCAGCCTCTGTCAGGGAAGTTCTACTCACTGCCTTCTCGCGGCATTACTGTTGTTTAAGAAATCGAGAGGATGAAAAGCGAATGTCCTGCGCTTTAACCGGGTTGGTAGATATTGGGGATTGACCTAAGGGAGTTGGAAAACCCTGATACCAAACCAATGGTGCACATGGGTTCCAGGATCCTGAAGGTACAAATAGAGTAGAGTACGAAAGAATCGTTGGTGACCGGCTACCATGGGACTGCACCTCCTTTGGCTGCTGCAGTGCCTTGTGGATTTAACCTCCAGGTCAAAGGTTCTGGATGTGACCCTCGGTGTGAGTAACCGGGCAGTACCACACTCCTCACACATATCAAATGACTTGTGTGACACATATCCATTTGTTGCCTCCTTGTACCAATATTTATGTGTTCAAATAAATAAAGAGGCCTGAAAGGACAGATCATATTTCTGTGAACCGGTTATTGTTATCAGGATTTCACCTATTCGTTATAGAGTATTTTTTGTAAAGAAGCTATTTGAGAGGGAACCTAATTTTAATTCATCTTTCAAAAGCGATGGTCAATTCTATCTAAAATGAGTCAAGTATTGTTTCTTTAGTGCATTACATGGTCCATGCGTTTGTTTATTTTTATTTAAATTGGTGTGTGGTAATGAAATTAAAAGTGATTTATCGCTAGGTGTGAAGATACAGAAAATCGGATTACTGACTATTTGAATATGTGGTTTCCTTTCTATTATTGATTTCTACTCTGAACTCACTGAAAGTGACGGCCTGTAATTGTTTGAAATAAAGTATTGTCTAGTGTTACTTTGGTTCTCGATTATTGGCGGTGAATCGGATATATGATATAACGTTGTCTAGTATATGTATAGGGTACCGCTTCGAGTATTCAATCTAACGATAGTATAAATTCGGTCATACAGTGTAGTCTTATTATCATATTTTTTTAAATAGTGTAAGAAGAGAAAAGTATTTAAATTCATCTGTTATATCGCCACTAACATTATTACTACTTCTATGGGAGAGAACAAACCAGTTTCCAACTAAGGAGGAGATTAAGAAAAGATGCTGGAATTGGATAGGACACACATTTCGAAAATCATCAAACTGTATCACAAGGCAAGCGCTAACTTGGAATCCTGAAAGGAAACGAAAAAGAGGAAAGCCAAAGAATATACGGCGCTGAGAATTGAAAGCGGACATGAAAAAGATGAATAGAAATAGGAAAGGATTGCATAGGACTGAGTTTGATGGGGAATGTTAATAGATGGTCTATGCTCCTCCATTAGGGGGTAACAGGTGTAACTAAGTAAACAAGTAATATTCTTACTACATCTACTTCTGTCAGATTTTCCCTAACTGTTGTATCTCGCTATGTTAATCCAATGTGACAATTTGAATCGATATACACACATATGTCAGTTTATATTCTGGGTTCGTCATTGTCGATATAACTTGGATTGTTATTTTCTTCAGAATGCAATTTGTAACTAACATCATACGAAAACAATTTTGGGAATCCCTCTGAATGATTGGTACTTCATGGGTATAAAGGTAATAACCGATTTGGAAATGATTCCAAAAAAACAAAGAAAGAAAGAATGAATAAGTAATTATCGTCTCAATTAGATATAGCAAATTAAAATTAAATCGATATATATTACAAACAACAAAATGATGTAAGTTAGTTAATGATATTGAACTGAGTTCCTGAGATTGTATTGATTTATAGTTCTCTAAAATATACAAGAAAAAATAAAAGAATTCAGTAAAGCAAGTGGGGGAGAAAACTGTACTTTCGTTCGCAATATTGATCTTACACCTAGTAACCAACTGAAATGAGAAACAGGATTTACTATCTGCACTATTGTAATCTGTTATGAGTTTATGTCCGGGTTTTGTCATGTGATTTATCCACCAATTAAAATATGACTTATACAATCTTCGCACTGTGCCAAACCAATGACGTTCGACCGGTATGGGCAGTCTAGCGTCCTTATTGGTTCTATGTTCGCCTAGCCCGTTCACTTGATTCCAGAACACCAGAAACCAGCTTCCAATATGCAAATCGAATCGAATCATTGATTTCAGACATACTAGGTTTATATATCAATCAGACAGACCACAACGCACCATAAAATAGGAAATAACATGTGTACACCATAAAGCCAAAAAGTGACTGTGAACGTGGGAGGCAGTAGT